CTGCAATACTTGCCAGGCTGCCAATTTCAGCAAGTCCCCACTTGAAGGGACAGCATCTGCGCAAGACTGGCTGTTTGCACAAAGTGGATTGGAATATGTTTACATGTGACCTGGAGAAGACGCTAACTACCTGTGACTCTGTCTGTGTGGATGTGCTTGCGTCGTCACTCACTGCGGGAATCCAGACCACTCTAGACAAACATGCTCCACTTCGGAAACGGCGCGCAAATCTCGACGTCCTTGCCCCTGGATTACAGATGAGTTAGTGGCAAGTGTTCGTGAACGGAACCGGGCGCATCGTCTCTGGCTCCGAGACAAAACCGATCAGAACCTTCAAGAAGCACACCAATCAGCTCGCTCCAAAGCACGGAAGTTGGACAGGAGTCTGCGCAACTTGTACTTCACTAAGAGATGTGATACATCAGATCAACGGCAACTTTGGGCTGTCATGAACGATGTCACAGGCCGACAGAAGACACGGAAAGAACCTGAAGCGCCGCTTGAGTCACTCAGTAAATTGTTTGGAGACATTGTGCATGACCCTATGCGACCACCTGAGCTGCATATACCACATGGTCCAGCCTCTGCATCTAGCTTCTCAACATTTCAGCCGGTAAGCGTGTCTGATGTTGCACAATGCTTGCAAACTGTGAGTCCTCACAAAGCATCTGGGAGTGACAACATTCCTGGAATTGTACTGCAGCAGTGTTCAGATGCCCTGGCACCTCCATTTACCACCCTAGTCAATGCATCCTTGACATCAGGTACTGTGCCAGTGTGTTTTAAAACATCACACATTAGTCCACTGTTCAAGAGTGGCGATGCAACATCCCCTACTAACTATAGACCAGTGTCATTGCTCCCTATTCTGTCCCAGATTTTGGAGTTCTTTGTAAAGAAGCAACTCACAGCATACCTCACGCAACATAGCATATTACCTAGCAGTCAGTTTGCCTACAGGAAAATGCACTCTACCGAAGATGCATTAGTTCTAGCCGCCAACCGTTGGCTGTTGGCCAAACAAGAGCGAAAATACACAGATATTGTGATGGTTGACATGTCAAAAGCATTTGACCGTGTCCAACATCAACGTCTGATTGATAAACTATTCACCCTGGGAGTCAATGGCAGAGTATTGTTATGGTTGGCTAGCTATCTGTCTGGTCGTACTCAGCGTGTCAAGGTGTGTGAGGCTCTTTCTGATGCAGTCCCATGCTCAAGAGGTGTGCCCCAAGGCAGTGTTCTTGGGCCGCTTCTCTTTGTCCTTTACACGAGTGACATTTCCGACGTCATACCTTGCATTGTTGTTCATCAGGAGTTCGCGGACGACATCATCCTAGATTATTCTGATTCAGATCTGGACACTGTTTGCAAGACGTTGACTACGGCTGTGACACGTCTGTCTGATTGGCTCTCCGAAATTGGGCTTCTGCTGAATACCGGCAAAACCCAAGTCATGGTAATTCAACCTCGGGGACTCACTGGCGACATACCAGTCGTGAAATGTAAGGATCAAGCCTTAACTGTTACCTCCACTGCCAAATACCTTGGCGTAACCATTGATGACTAGCTATCCTGGCAGCCACATGTCTCCAGTGTTGTGCAGAAGGCGTCAGTCGCCATCAGCCGGCTATGGCGCCATGGGCGATCTCTGCCCATAAGAGCCCGAAGACTTTGGTACATTGGCATTGTGCAAGCACGACTAACGTACGCATCCAATGCATTCTTCCCGTCGCTGACACAGCAGCTGCAGAGTCGTTTAATCAAATCCAGCAAATCTGGAATTCGTGCAATTTTCCGACTCTTCAGCCGTGCATGCACAGCCCCCCTCCTCGTGCGCTTATCTATTCGATCCCTAACTCACATTTTTAACTACAAGGTTTTGTTTTTTGTTTTCCGTTGCCTACATGATCTTGCAAGTCCTCTTTTCTGCACCTACTTTCAGTTGATGGCTAACACAGGCCAAGCATCCCGGGATGATCGCCGAATTACTCGAGGACAGGAGCAGCAGCTACTGCAAGTGCCTTTCCTTCCTGGACCTTCCGGTCGTCAGTCATTGACATTTGTGGGAAGCACTCTTTGGAATGCCTTTCCCAGCGATATTCGCCTCCACAGTGCGGCGGTTGCCTTTAAACTGGCTCTGAACAGAATTAATTGTAATTTGTAACCACCTTGCTCGGCATCCCTACACATTACTGCATGTTTTCTCGGTGTTTTCTTCACTGCATGCTTACACATACACACACCCATTTGAATTATATACAAACTTTGTGCTTTGGAATTATCATGTTATGATTCTTTTTAATATTTCCTTCTCTCATAATATTATATTCGTTCTTAGCAGAAACCGGAGGTTTTTCCTCTGGTGAGAAGGCAGAATTGCCTGTGCTCTAAACGAATTCAAATAAAAGAAACAAACAAACAAACATGTATTACTGTGTATTTTATAACAAAAATATTATTGAAAACCCAGAATCGATTTTCTCGTTCCTATCATCAGTGGGAAAAACGGAACTAAGGATACAACCAAAGAAACTGAAGTTACTGTAAATAGAAAGGTGTTAGAAATAACATCAAGATACAAGTGCAATAAAACCACTAGAGGAAACGCAAAAAAGGTAACAAGATTACATAACCAAAGGCGAGAAGGCACTGAACGAAGTGTCAACCTACGAATACAACTTCAGTGCAACAACGTGCTCTTTCTGCTTACACAAAACAGATGTGTATGATGGTGTTATTTCTAACACCTTTCTATTTACAGTACTTAACTTCAGTTTCTTTGGTTGTATCCTTAGTTCCGTTTTTCCACTGATGATAACGTTAGGAACGAGAAAATCGATCCTGGGTTTTCAATAATATTTTTTGTTATAAAATACACAGTAATACATCTCAAACAAGTAACGTAGTTGCGTGATGTCTGCGGCCTTCATCCTATTCATAGCTATATTAAAATGATTATCTCCATATATATATTATATTAGAACGAGGTCTGTCTCGTTGTCCAGGAAACGACCAATCAGCGACATTCCCGCCAAGGGCCTTATCAGAGTTTAAAGCCCGCTCAATCGTTATTTTACTACTCTTGATGACGCGTCGAGGGCCTTGGATTAGTTTAAAGCCCGCTGAATATACTCTAAACTGGTGCGTACAACTCCCTGTATGCATTATAGTACGGTGCAGATAATGAACTCTGCATAAAATGTACGGTGTACTACTAAAAGCTACGCATTTCAGAAGTGTGTACGGTTTTTGCCTCCCGTATTCTTTCATCTGTACGAATTTCCTTTGTCAACAGCTTGCGGAAACCTATAAAAACCGAAGATCGAAGTCATTAGAGGTATCGACAAGGGGCTCTCAAATCCCCTAAATAGCTCCACAAGCTATGAATAAGAATGAAGCTCGCAATAAGAGCCCAGCATTTCCTTTGCTTCTATTCTACTTTTAGTAGTCCTAAGTGGTGCTGAGTTACCATAACTTACCAGAAGAAAATATTCTTTCATACCACACCAAGTCTCTCTGCACACAAACCACAAACTAGCCAATATAATGGTACACAAGCATGATGGAAGTGAGATAATGCATGTAACCTCGTTCTAAAATAGTTAGTGCATGGCAGGGAGGGTCTTATGGCTTGTTTGTGCCCTTCAGGGTAGCCCTCGGGCCTACGGCCCTCAGGCTAACCTGTCGGGCACTAACAAGCCATAAGGCCCTCCCTGCCATGCACTAACCTATAATTAGGTTATCTGTGTACTTTTATTTTATATTACCTTCCTATCATACCCTGGTTTCTCATCATTGTTTTGCTGTTGCCCGTAAAAGAGGCTGTTTTCACTACACCAGTACATGTCCATTGTAATATTTAATCTGCGGACAGCATGCTGTTTCTTTCTTTGTGAAATCATCAGCGCAGCACAGAGAAAATGAGGCCGAACCTGATACCAGTGAAATTATAATACTTTGAATCCATGTGCATGACACGTGTCCTTGTATTTTACAAGCTGTCATCCTTCACCTTTTCTCAGCCAACTAGACACACCTGCAGTTGCATGAACCCGATATGTTCCCAGTGGCATGCAAAGCAGATGCACTGGCGCTTGGGCCAGGGGCTATGTCGCAGGCTTGGGAGGTGACACAATGTCAGGTGTAAACATCTGGTGAAGGTCTGCTGATCAGATGAGCAGAGACAAGAACGTGCAGCGAAGCTGATAGGTCGTGCCCTACAACTAACTTTGAGATTTGAGATCAGTTCAGCGCTGGCTTTCCTTACTTGTTGACATGACAGCCATCGTGACTGTCTTTGTCGTATACTGTCACAAGGGCGGAGCGGTTGTAGACACAGAGCAAAAACATGCGCAAAAGTCAGCGTGATTAATACTGTTCTCCTGTCGTGGACATGGAAATCCAGTCGGTTGACTGTGGCCGGCGTTATCAGCGCGTACAGAGCGTTGCATGCTGTGCACAGTCATGTTGATCCGATGCGACCAGCGCTGCAGCGCATACATGTACATGTACGTGCTTGTGTCTAGACTACTGGGTACCGCTTATCCACGGCTGCATGGCTAACGCCCTGGGGCCGCTAGACTTGCAACCGGATTTCCATGTCCACGGCAGTAGTAGTACAGGCATCTTGACTTTTGCGCATGTTTTTGCTAGGACTGCATGTGTGTCGCCCCCCCCCGCCCCTGTTTCTAATAATGACTATCATTGCACAATATACATTATACATGACTGTATGTTTGCATGTCGTGCCCCGCATTCCAACACTAATGCTGACAGCTTGATGGGTGTCCATACTTCGCTACCCACACGTGCATGTAGATGTACATGTGCTCGTACATGATAATGCGAGCTCAGACTACAGTCATTTGCCTTACCGTAATGGATCACATCACGTCCACGCTCGAGAAAATCAGAAAATACAGTATCGTGAAGGCAAAGATTTGCGAGCGGGATCGTGACAGGACAGCACATGACAAAATGGAGCATACAGTATTGGCGTTGGCGTGGTTGAATGAGCAATAATGGTCATTTTGAGAAAAGCCTACAGTATCCATTTACCGCCTTCATTCTTGTGAATTTTAATCCGGGCAGCAAGAACAGGTTGTTCTTGAGGATTTCATTCATTTCGTTGCATTCCGCTTCTCGCCGCTGTACGATCAGCTCAACCCCATCCTGAGCGTCGTGCGTGCGAAACGGAGCTGAGGTAAGTGATATGGACGGCGCAAAGACCAGATGACTGTATAGAATCGACTCGCATTACATAATTACATGTATGTGTTATTGGAAGTATTAGAGGATCCTAAGGTGTTATCTGGGAAAGCAGGGAAATCGTATTTCCATGTCTGGGAAGGGAAAGCTGCAACTTTACAGCAGCACCACGGTCTTGGGCTGTGTTTACATGAAGCGTTTCAACCCGGGTTGAGTTCGACCCGGGTCAGATTTCAACCCGCCATGTACACAAAGGGAATGGCGCGTTTACATGACGCACTGCGCTTGACCCGGGTTGAAATTTCGCCCCGGGCTGATTTCGCCCCGGGTTGAAATCAACCCGGGCCAAGAAAATCGTACAAACGTACTTCTGTGTGTATCTCGCGCCAGGTTTGAACAGCACTGCAGATGCAAATTTCGCGCGAACGGATTCACGTGATCATACAGGAATTTAGAAGTGGACTTTTGGCGGCATATCAGTATTTGACCCGGGTCAACTGTCTTCATGTAAACGCTCACCTCTTTTGTCTATCGTGCAGACTTTCAACCCGGGCTGAACTCGACCCGGGTTGAAAATTCTCATGTAAACACAGCCTTGGATGCGTCAAGGGTTTGCTGCGAGTGGATGTTGAGTCAACCAGATGATTCTCGAAGTAGTGATTTTTGCTCGAAGTCATTTGTATGGCTGTCCAGGGTCTGGATTGGTGGCAGTTGTTCAGTCTGGGAGATAAACCATCTGCAGCACGAGTCTTAAGAACATCGCAATCTCATTGATCACCTGCCCAGGATAGTAAAATATTCACACTTCGTCTAACACAATGAAAGATTCAACTCGGATGGTGAGCCAATTAAATTATGGTGAAAAAGGAGAAGGACAAAATATTACGAGTTATGACTGACTGTCCACCAACGTAACCAGATCTTATACAGCCCTCTTGGACCTTTCCGAACATGAGCCTTCCAAGTTGGAAGGTTGTTAGTTTGCGCCTTGGAGAAGTGTTGGAACTAGGTGTCAGGTCACCAAATGTCTGAGTACTCCTTGTCAGGTTTGTGCCATTTTGTCGCACTCGCTGATTGTATAGGATCTGGTTACGTTGGTGGACAGTTAGTTATAACTCGTAACATTTTGTCCTTCTCCTTTTTCACCACAATGAAAGATGCACAAGCATTCCGGGATGTACATGACAAGTATAGAGACGATAAATGATTAAATGCTATGCCAAAGACCTTACGGAGGATGGCATTTGGCATAGCCAGGGTGCACAGCGCCTTATGCCCGAAGCTACATCATGATGCAAAAGGAATTCGCAGTAGCGTCTTGCGCGGCACAGCAGTCAGTACCTTTGGGTGTTTCTTTCCTCTGCGATGGACAGTGTCGAGAGTAGCTCGAACTACAGAATATTAATCCCGTGTTCGGGGTAGAAAAATGCTTTGTCTTTTTCGTCTAGACTCGGCTGCAGACTAGACTGAGCCAGAACACCTGAGCTAGCTCTTAAAATTGATATTTTCAAGAGGTCTGAACGGAGATGATTTTGTCGTAGTACATGTAGATATTGCTTTGGAGATTGGAGTTGGAAACCTGCATGAGACAGACCGGGTTGCTTTGTGGCTGAAGCTGAAGAGGAAGCGGAGCGGTATGGGTGATATAGGATTCGTAGATGTGATTTCCTGTATGTGGGCCAACTGTCCATTGGACGACTTCACAACAGCGCATCGACCTCACAGTCACATGCTGAGGGAAGAAAACAACTCAAAACTGGATTTCCACCGGATCTTCACAACTCCGAAGAAAAAAATAGTTTTCCGGTTGGCATTTCGATCATTAAGGTTTTTCTCTTTTTTCCTAACTTCATACATTTTCGGCCAAATCGGATGGCTTACTGGTTTGAAATTGAATATCATAAAATTGTTTGAGTTATTCGAAGTAAGGCTATTATTTTAAGAAGTGATGGGTGAGCAATCGAAATTCGATATATTATCGGTAATTGTTTTGTCCCTACGCTATTCACTCAACCAATTCTCAATTTCGTCCTGTCCAGTGACATCTTCAACCATGTTCAGTGGCCATGTTCTCCTACTTGCCTGTCTTGCGTGCGTGGCAAACTATCATCAATCTGCAGCTGTGGTATTTCCGTATGTCCGTAAGTGTTGCTTGATGCACTGCATAAGACTGTAGCCATGGATGTTGGAAGCGATCGATGGTCATCTCTCATGGAGGCCACACTGCATTGACACGGCTTCAGTGTGCTCAGAACTTCAGATTGTTTTTCTTTTTTTCTACAAAATCCACATATCTCCAGACACTGGGGTGAATAATGGAGTGTGGTGGTGGGTAGGGATGTCCACAAAATGTTTTCGATTTTTACATTTTGGGTAATTTTCACACTTTTTCAGCCAATTAGTCACAGTGTATTCTGTATTACCCTTGTGGCAGTGTCAAGTGCGTAGTGCCGAAGCTATGGGTCAAACGACTGTTGTGATAGCAATATCAAACTGATGAAGCACATACCGCACTTGCTGCTGTCATTACCCGGTCCGACGCTCCGTGTTTTGTCTGCTTTTTGGTCTGTCCCTCATTTTATCACTTTCTCACTACTCCTTCTCGAGTCTCTCTTTCTCTCTCTCTCTCTCTCACTCTCTCTCTCTTTCTCCCTCTCTATCTATCTCTCTCTCTCTTTCCTTACTCTCTTTCTTTCTCTCGCCCCTCTCTCCAGCACCAGCAGTTTATTTACTTGAAACAATTGGAAAGGCTATTCTGCAGGACTAAGGTCATAAAATGGCAAACATGTGTCCTGGGTTTTTCTCACTCTGATTTGCAGCGGTTTTCAACTGCTTCACTGCTGGTGGTTTGTACTATATCAGCTATGCGACACATATAGTCAATAGCAGTACAGCCCAGACCGCCTGCTCGCCAGGAGGCTACAGACTGGTCCTGCAAGCGTCAACCACCAGCGCTTGTTTCCGCCAGTACTATAATCACATGACAGCGGCCAGTGGTTCAAACATCACGCTTTGGATCAGAGGCCCCAGTGGAATGACTTGCTACCCGCACGCCTCGCCATGCCCAACCCTTTCGCCGTTCATATGCGAGGCATCGGATTCATCTGCGGTGCCAGGTTAGTGTTTGCTTCTTCAACACCACCGCTTCTGTTATGCAATGGAATTATCACTGTGCGCAGGAGGGTTTAGTCTCAATAGGTTGGGATTGCATCTAGTAGCCAGACACTGTTGATTGTGTTCGTTCGTTTATTTCTTTTGAATACTAATTACTCTCCATCAGTTTAATTGGATAAACCAACACAGTCGACTGCGAATGCACAAAATGATATTGTTTGTGACTTTCAGCGCACGCAGACACACAATGTCGTTGGCTACACAAATTTCCAATATCTTGCCCAAAAGGGTATCATAGCAGATTTGGCGTCCATATCACGTCAACATTACATCCAGGAAGAAGTCTCACGCAACTGCAATGGACCTGGGTTGGTTTCAGCCAACTGCAGTCAAGGGCGCCCTGTTTTCCATACAAAATCCAGTGGTTTACTAAGGTTTTGGTCATTAAACATCGGAATCCCTTCCCGAATTTTTTGCTACACCAACACCCATTTTAAGTGGAGTAAATGCATCAAACAAATGTTAACCCTTTCAGGGCCACTGCAGATTCCACGTATTCCCGCCAGGGCGCACGCTGACGCGTGCCTCAGCCCGAGTGCGCAGCTGCAAAATTTTACAATTTCACTCACCAGAGGCAGAATTTCTTCATCTTGGTCTTATCAGCAAGCTGCAGATCTCCTCTCTACAAATCATTCAACTAGATTTCCAGCAGGAGCAATAGAATCTCCTTCATGCCATTTGAGTGCTGCCCTATTGCGCCCGATTGAGATTCTGAGCCCACCTCGACAAATTTCTTCGGTCCATTTTGGGAAAAGAGCATGAACTCCGCTCGAGACAAATACCAAGAAAACGGATAAATTTCATTGAACCCAAAACATATTAGTACTCAGAATGTGAGGGCTTACATTAAAAATTCCTTTGAATCAGGGCTGATGATGTACTAAAGCAGCTATGTAGATAGGGCGTTGTGAACTCCACCGAGCAGAAGTCTCGGTATACTTCAGCATCAAGCGCATCCGGAGGAGGTGAGCGGGGGGAGGGGGGGGGGGAGAGTGGGGGTGGTTAAAAAGGTGGAAAGAGGAAAAATCCAATGCCATCGCCTAATACACGTCAGCTAATCTGCCGCAACGTGTGTTCTAGGAGGCGCTTGCATACACTTGCCTTATAGTGTTCCAACGTTGCTTGGTATGGCCCCGCATTCAGGATCCCAGTGGCCAGGCAAAACAGGGCTTAACAGCAGGCCAAATGGGAATAAACGGTGCAACTGCACTTACAAGGCATCACACAAAGGAAACATTGTGACTTGCCTTTATGTCTTTCCAACAGGAGGAAGCTCGGCTTGTCCTGCTCCCCCAACGATAGCTCACGCAACTGTGAGCATCCCGTCCGGTCTACAATTCCCTGCCGACATATTCTATCAATGCAACCTGGGCTACACAATCGTCAATTCCAACACCGCTCAGTGCCAAAAAGATGGGACATGGGTAAATCCGACGAAATCTTGCGACGGTAAGATTATGTATTCATTTTTCTCCAGTAGAAAAATAATCTCTTTGGAAGCAAGGAGTTTATTTATTACATGCGTACCGCTATGCTGGCACTGTCCGCTGCTTCTCTCTCAAAATTGGATGTGTGCTCATTCCGTATTGCTGCGCAGCAAATATTTGTCCAGCTCCATACATCACCAACGGATTCACGGCAGGCGCTGCCCCGTTTTTCACCATGTCCTGTTGCACTGGATACAAACTGGTTGGGAAGGGTGCAGTATCTTGCACAAGCAGTAATTCTACAACACCAGTTCCGACCTGTGAACGTAAGAATACTGACGCGTGAGCTGTATGGTATTGTATTGTGTTGCATTATGATTTTGACTCGGATGATTTATTCGATTTAATTGCCTTTATTTATATATTTCAATAGTACAATGTGCAACTTGGGAAGATCCGAATAACAATAATAGGATCACATAAACACAAAATTGGGATATTAATGTACTGTTATAAGTGCTACGTTCACTGCTTTGAGGAAAGACTACAGATAATAATTTTATCGCAAGTTGTGGGACTGAACTCAGTTGTGTTACTGCGTCGTATTGATGTGGACCGCGGCAAGGCACTTAACCGTTATCATCCCGACCCAAGGAATTGTCCTATCATTACGAAAATTTCCACACAAGTGCATTTTGGTTGTGTCAGGAAGGTCTTCGGAACTGCATAGGTCCTTAGGAGGAAAACAACACCAAGAGAACCGAGATGGACTTGCTATGCGTTCAAGGGAATAACCTACACAAGACATCATGATTGGCTACGAAGTTTTCACCAGCCCAGAAAGCTGAATGAAGCACCACCGATCATCAGGGAACAGGATGTATAGATATTGAGAACTGAATGTGTTCGATTGGCAAATGAGTCCATGTATGCAGGCTCAACAATAATTTTTTGATCTAATCCCGATCTCTTTTGTCTTCAGTCGTATCCTGCCCACAGGTCGAGCAGGGACTGGCGAATGGGACAGTGTCCAACAATCCTAACACTGTATATTCCGTTCAACACTTCACCTGTGATGTTGGCTTTAAGCTGGTCGGCTCACAGTCCACAACTTGTCAGCTAAATGGCAAGTGGTCTAGCGCACCACCTACATGCTCACGTAAGGATAAGTAGGAAGGAGCCCAAAGACCCTTTCTTCCTGTTTTAGATTATATGCTTTATGCTTTGCGTGTTGACAACAGTTTCCTTGGAGACAAGAATGCAATAATACTAAAAAGTAGACACACTTCAGGCCCTTCAAAAACTTCGTGAAAGTTTTCACACGTTTACTATCAAGCTTTCTCCTCGGGTGAAATACAAGCAAGAGCAAAGGAATCAGAACTACATTTCACGCTTGTTAGGTTTTCTCACACGTGCACCTTCGTCTTATTCGCTTTATTTGCAAAGGCCACGCATTTTTGTTTTGTTGTTTTGAGCATCCTCCTTCTTTTCTCCGTTCTATAACCACTATAAAAGTTCATTTCTGCATTCTCAACTGCTCACAAGTAGCGCTCTCAGCCGAACCACGAAGCATAAAAACACCAGCGCAGCAAGGACACTTCCTTTGGCAGATTATATTTCTCCACGCCTCTAGACAGCTGTTCGCTCCTTCCAGCTCATCAGTAGAGGATGATAATGATGAAAATGGAGTGTAAAGGAATAATCATTCTTAGCAGCAGAAATGACGCAAGTGCGCGTTTCACACAGAGCACAATGACATATGCAAGCTGTAGATGTAAAATGTGAGAACAGCGTGAAGAGCTGTTGTACGCGCTCATTGGTGGAGGAACACACTACACAGGCGCACAAGCGACGCAAATATTTCGCGGACATGACTCTATAACTGATCGTAATAGAGCGAGAATAATGAAGCCATTGCATGTTGTTCGTAGTGATATTATTATGATGGTGCATTGTCCCTCGTGTGGTTCATTGCACCATCATACTATCACTACGAACAGCATAAATGTACTTTCCAGTAGCATCATTATTCTCTCTTTATTGCAATCACTTCTGGGGTCATTCCTGCTTACGATTTGCGTCGCTTGTGCGCCTGTGTGGTGTGTTCTTCCACCAATGAGCGTGTACAATGGCTCTTCACGTTGTTCTCACATTTAGCATCTAGCAGCTTGCATATGCCACTATTGTATGTGGAGAACGCGCACGCCATTTCTGCTGTATAAGAATGATCATTCCTATACTCTCCATTTTCATCTTTGTCATCCTCCACTGATGAGCTCGAAAGAGCTGTCTAAAGGCGTGGAGAAAGATCATCTGTCAACGGAAGTGTCCTTGCTGTGCTGGTGTGTTTAAGCTTCGTGGTTCGGCTGAGAGCGTGTGATTGCGACAGGTTGGGAATGCAGTAAATTAAAAATTGGAGTATGCCCAATCCACTGTTCTTGTTCCTTTGCTTTTGCTTGAACTTCACCTGACGAGAATGATTGCATAAGGTCGGCAGAGCATCCCAGACCACGCCACCACTCCCCTTATTCATGGCTCACACATGACGGGTTTACGTGGTCCTAGTAAAAAAGAAAAGAAAAAAATACTAGTGAAAATTCTTTCAGAGGTTGTTCAAGAGCCTGAAGTGTGTAATTCCTCCTAGCAACACTTTAAAATATTAACACAATTGATAGTGATGGTGAAGAATAGTTTGAGTTGTGTAGTGTTTCTTTCCCCGATACGCTTCTTGTCTACAGGAAAGGTATATAATTACAATTCGTTGGGTATTTCTAGAATATTTCGTACGTACTTTATGAGCATAACGTGTACTTGTATGTATTTCAAAACTCGAAGACATCTTCCACTAATTGTGCAACTAAATTGTATGTGGAGCACAGGGGTACTGATACTGAACCGGTTTGCTTGCACGCGTTTTAACTAGAGCAGAACACGAAATGTCCACCATTGCGAAGGTGTTCGTTAAAGCATTTTGGTGTCCACATGCCACTGTGTCGGGTATCCTTACTACAGGAATTATGTGCAATCAAGTCTTGTCTTCTCCAGCGGATGGAACATTAGCAACCGGTCCTAGAACAGCTCTGAGCATTCTTCAGTACTCGTGCAATGAAGGATTTATGTTGCAAGGAGCCGCATACACAATGTGCCAGCTGGATGGGACTTGGTCGAACGCGTCTACAACATGCAAGCGTATGTTGTTGGATGTTGTTGTTGTTGAATCTTACGTATAGTCGCAACACAAACAGGCGATAGCGCCTTATTTTTACGTGTGAGCGATATAACAAATTCAATGATTACACTAATGAGAAGGTGAGGAGAAAAAATCACAAGTGAAAGAGGCCACCGAAGGTAGCTGACTATGTTACAGATAGAGCGGCGGGAAAAAAATTGTTGAAAAACCGAATACACGGAGTGTAAATGACTGCTGAGATGTCGAAGCAGTGCATTTCCTATCACCCTTGCAAAACACTATGTACCAATAGGATAGGATTTGATCAGATGAAATCTTACACAGAAATTGAAAGGATGTGTAGTATCCCTGCCCGACCAATACGGAAGCAGTACGGAACTAATACGGAGCTTTGCCTGATGTATATTTAGTGTATCTCCGTATGTAAGCGTACGGCGTCTGCTGCATAAAAGCGGCTGCGCATTTCTGTTTCGATGAGAAGATTAGATTAGATTAGATAAGATAGCAATGAAAGCTAACTGGAAGATGAGATTTTGATAATAACGAGCTATTCAACCTCCAGGTGTGCACCGGAGAGAAAGTCAGTTATTTTGCCGCTTCTTCTTTCACTAACAATTATATCTCAGGTGTGTACCTGAAAGAAGTAGAATAAAAGTAACTCTTGTTGATTTCACCGCGCCTACCACTCGGCTACCCATTACAGATGTACTCTTCGTGAACAGATAAAAATGGGATATACTTTGAATACTTTGACGCTTTCGAGAAAGCATCGAAATGTGCGTGACAAAGCTCGGAAGCGCATGGGCTGTAGTTTGTTCCAAAGAATGGCACCGATTATTGTACTTCTGCCCAGAGGACCGGGGTAAGGAGGGTACGTGAAATAGGTGTTGATCAGCTCCTCGGGTGCGATCACTCTGACGTAAAAATTCCAAAACAGGACACTCGAACGGCCATATCTGAAGCGACAAACGAATATTAGAATTTTCGCTGCCAGCAGGGCGCCCTCGAGGGTTGGAAGAAAGCGTCTCTCGAAGAGCCCTGCAGCGGAGGTCCGCGGCGGGATGCCAAACATGGCACGGATCGCAGCTTTCGTCATCCGAATTTGGGCGTTCATGTTTCTGGCCATCAGGGTTGAATAGAATTCATTGGACGCGTAAGTTACCGGTAGTTTGGACATAATCATTGCATGTTCCAGGAGACTGGAGAGGTTAAGATGCAGTTATTTCCGACGTGACGCGCAATTTCATGTCAAATTAGGCGTAAAACTACAAATTTCGACGTGAACTGCAGGTCGTTCGGGTTGTTTTTCGACGCTCGAGCCAAATAACGGTAGTTAAACTTTCGCGTCACATCAGAAATAACGTGCCTCTTAACCTTTCTGCTGTCAAGCTTTGACGTGAGCGCCATACCTCAGCAATCGAGCGTCGAACTTGACGAATGGTCTGCTCAACGTGACCCTCCCAGGAGATTTCATTATCAACAGTAACTCGCATGTGGCTAGCCTGTGACACAATCATTAGCAGTTTCCCATCGCAACGGATCTGGAACGGTTCTGCACTCTGTTGCCCACCATGAGGTGTTACATATGTAAGATCTGTGTCTTCATCTGGCTCAGCTTAAGGCCGCGGTCCTCAAGCCAAATTGCCAGATTGGTGACTACGGTGCTTAGGGAGGTGCACACCACTGCTCGACCCGCAGAGGCCTCGATAACGATATCGTCCGCAGAGTCTTGATGGACGACAGTACGTGGGTTGCAACTGTGTACATCGCGAATATACAATCATAGTGAAGAGCAGCGGACCGAGAACAGAACCCTGTGGCACGTATCCACTGTACAGTGTGCAGCTTTACATACTCTCGGCCATAACTACACGCTGGCACCGATCGCGTAGGTGACTAGAAAGCCAGGAATTCACAGTGCCTGTCACACCAATGTTGGAGATTTCTTCCAGCAGAAAATTGTGCTTGACAGAGTCGAACGCTTTGGACATATCCACAAATGCTACGGCTGTTTCTTTCCGCACATACTTCGCTTTTAAAAAGGTTGCGAGCAACGAAAATTCTTAGCGCCGTAACAAACATTTTTAACAAAAAAAGCTAACGAAAATTCGTAAGCCGTGAGGTTGCGCACAATGTTTGACCTTTTTCGTAGTAGTTCGACGCGGCGCGCGTGCGGGTATGGAAAGTCAAGGCAGAGAGTTGTAATAGATCAGTATTTTAGTGCCGGTACTCCAGGTTACAAAACATATTTTCGTAGATCTGATCTGCTTCGATCGCGTTTGGACGGATCTTCGCGGCAACTTCCGTCATTTCAACCCGGACGGTCGAAATCTTACAAATTTTCGTTACACGACACCTCTCTACGAACCCGCCGTTTACCGCTAGGACAAGGGGAAGAGATAGTAGGGAGGATATATTTTTTTCCATTATGTACTGTAAACCGTGAAATTATTTCGATGGTCTAATTTCTGCGAAATTCACGACCGCGTGGAAATCGCGAAATTTAGACAGCGCGAAAAGGAGATCCATGAAAGGTTTAGCAATAATGCCACAGGTTTAGCAAGAATGCCATTCTGAAATCGCAACATTAAAACCTCGCAAACCTGTCCGGACTCTGAAAACGCGAACTAAAAACGCCGCGAAAATGTCACGCTTTACAGTATGAAATGAGCTCGACTTTCACGTACATGTATGTCAGTATTGCTTTCGGTGTTTTAGGGAAGTGCAATTCTAACTAATTGCTAAGAAACCTGGAAATCCCACAAATCCCTCAAAACCCGCCATGACACATGTATCATAAACAATTTCTCTTTCATGATTCTAACCGCTTGACCTTGCCAACAATACCCTGTTTTCGACTACGCATTTTACATGCGATCATAAAGCATGGTACGTCATGAGGGTGATTTGGGGGGCAGATTTGTTTGCTTCATTGCTGTGTGATCATTGTAGTGAGTGCAATACCGGTATATGGATGTATTGAGTGTGTATGGGCACTCTTCACAGCCGCCCTGATCGTGTCATATTTTTGTTATTGTACACCAGTGTTTGTTGCCACCGAGGGTATTCTAACATACGGGAGGGCAAATAAGGTCTTAATGCCATTAATTACATGTAGATGCACATGTTTATGTGCGTATTGAGCCCTGGAGCGTTGCAAGCCATAATCAACAGACCGTTAGAGACGCACAGCATGAGCGCGTATGAACCAGCTGTGCTCCAAGGCAGCTGCAGCCCGCTATAGGAACCCACATGCTTTTACAGCAGCAAGATGGTTTCTGTTGAATTAACGTCTCAATGTCTGCAGCTAAAGAGTAGACAGCTTGACGGGTTATTGAACTGCGGTAAATTGTTTCGCAGATTCTAAGTTACAATTTCATGCTGGCTTTACTGATCTTTTGCTGGTTTTCAGCTATGTGTTCAGCGGAACAAAGAGAGAGAGGTTAGATAACAACATTGTATCGTAGCACTTGCGGAATAAACTTGTTCTCATCATCATTTTGTTTCACTGTCCAGAGACTCAGTCACAAAACTTCTCGAACTTCGCTGCCGGTGGAATTGGTCTAGGCATCGGTCTTGCGATTATGGGGATTGTCCTTCTCATCGTGGTGAAGCGGATGGAGAAGGCAAGACCTTTGCCCGCAGCTCCCAGCTTGGCCATGAAGGACACACGTAAGCTAGCAGCCTCGGAGTCGATGATGATGTCCAACGACGCATATGCTGGAAGGCCGTTCCACACACAGCCGGAGGCCGAGACAGTTTATGAGCAGCCCGGCCAGGTTAAAACCGCTCATCTCTACTAACATTTTGTCATTAGTAGCATGCTCATTTCCTGTAGGAGCCTGTGCATGTACCGCACATTTTACAGAGTATTAAGTATTGTGTTCATTGCCTGCACTGCCCTTTGTAATTTGTAAATGCACAGTAATACTGCACCGGGAAAGGTGTATTTTTACGTTTATTTACATGATCTATAAAAAAGGACCTTGTCTATTGATGTTGGCACACAAACTCTGTCCCACGACTGTTTTTGTTGACCAAAATTTCATTCTTCCAAGATGTTGGCCTGCAAGATCTTATGCAGTTCTTCAGCTTCTATGACAACCATAATGTTTGGTGTGCTCTTTTTCCCATTGTTGTTTCTTGAATTTTGTACGTACCCAGGTCTAGTAAAGGGGGTCTGCGATGAATTGCCGTAAACCCGTTCCCAGAACGACAGTTCCCGGAACGGCTCTAAGTAGAAAGGCGGTTCTCAGTACGACATTTCACTGAAACGCATGCCAGACCGAAAAGACAATTCACGAAAATCACATTCGCGGAGAGCTTCCCAAAACGAAAGACATTTCACAGCTACATGTATCTCCTTTAACGTCTGATCAGTTCACAGGGTAAAGCCTCGGCACACTTTTGCTGGTGTTGGAGCTCAGAATTTCAATTTATCATTAGTGTATGAAATGGAAATGGAAAAATATCATGAAAAGACGTTAACTAAAACGACTTTCAGCATAAAGCATCAAATATAAAAGAATACGCAGGGCCAAATCATGCGCCATCTTCACAAGAAATCGGGTGGGGGGGGGGGGGGGTGGAGTAGTTACGAGGTTGCAGAATCATACGTTGTGGGTGCTAACACAGCGCTGCCGCAGCCTTTGTACAGTATAGCCCGCACCCGGTCGTCCAAGCCTTTCAAGCACGCTCCGCTCATTTCCACCAACCAACTACTCCCTTGCAGTCTATTTAATTGGCTCACCATCCGAGTTACCATTTTATTTGTTCATCATAATCTAGGAGCTGTGGCATCATTCATGATCCACAGCAAGGATAGGGAGCAATGCCTGTGCCTATGGTGACGTAAAAATAATGACAACAACAACAGTCAACACTGCGTATTGAGCCGGGAGTGGAGATTTCTTGAAGGTTTGCCGAGTGGAAAGTTCGATGGACTTCCCGTGTGCTTTGGATGGCAGTCGTGAGTCAGACAAGTGAGAATTCAAGTCCGCAGGACAAGCGCGACCTCCCACGTTGGGAGCAACACACAATTCCCCAAGTATCACCGAAGTCGCACCAACCTATTCTTAGCAACATTCGAGGTAAAGAATGTGAGAGCACACTACTCCACATGCATTGAGTTCAGTCGGTAAATGGTAAAACGCCGTACCATATGCATGTGGCCAGAGGAAGAGGGTTTTAGTGGCAGGTTGTCTTTACGTAGAGGTATGTAATGCACAACCGTATATACATGTATGTGAGACCGTCCGTGCCTGGCGGAGAGGTCTGTAGGTCGCTAATCGCGGTGGTCTTCAGTTACAGGTTTTACTTTACTGTATGTAAAAAAATCAATATCGAACACGGAACTATCGGAACTACCAATTGATAATGCAATACCTGCAAAAAAAGAAAAGAAAAAGATCCTGTGTCAGTGATGGATCTCCGCTAACAGATCAACATGCAGAGACCACTCAAGCAGCCTTGGTACTACACATGCTTAGAACCCGCTCTCCGAAATGGCTAACTCCCTCATCACATTGGCTGGGGGATGGATGGCATGCCGAACGTGCACCACAAATTCACATTATTGCTGCCCTGACCAAAGCTTAAGCATGGGCTATACAATCATTATACATGTACATATAAAATAGTGATTTACATGATCGATGACCTGCAAACCATGGCAGGTGGTATGACATCTGTCATCTGCCTGCGAGTCAGGTGCATGCATCTCTTGCCCGAGGGCAAGCCCGCATTCTCAAAGGATGATAGGTAAAGTCTGTTTGGCGCTAAGCTTCTCCCCTACGATTATACATGTGCCATGCGCGGTGGAGAGTCGCATACTGCGGCATAGCATTGTCCCCATTTCTTCAGCTTCTGTAGTACAGTACAGGGCCATACTAGTACTGTATACCGAGTATAGTAGTAATAGTATGGGAATGAGATCGGATCCGATCGCGTGATTGTGAGTGCAGCAAGCGCCCAGCGCTGTGCAACCCTAGGCCCTGAAAGTGCGAACACTGAGTAGTGTAGATCGCTGGTTCGAATAAGTATCTGCCTGAGCACATTCCGTGAAGTAACTAATATACTGTCTTAGTTAGTTTGGCTGCTGACCCGCTCGCGATGGCTCCATACTCAACCCAGATGCACGCGCAAGTAACATTTAGTTCTCCTACTGTCGGGGACATGGAAATCCAGTCGATTGATGCAGGGCCGGCGGCCCGGCGCCCCCAGCGCGTACAGAACGCTGCGTGCAGTGCACATGTTGATCCGACGGCGATGCGACCAGCATGGAGCGCGCTGCAGCGCATAAATGCATGCGTGTACTGCTTGTCCACGGCTGCATGGCCAGCGCCCTGGGGCCGCTAGACGTGCGACCGGATTTCCATGTCCACAACAGTAGATGTGCATGACTGTATGTATAACGACAGAAGATCCAACAATCTAGACAGAAGCAAGCCGTGCAGTGCTCATCACAGCCTTGAAATGTACGTGGGGCATGACAGAGATCACTGAAGTGTCCAGACCTTTCATCAATTCTTTTAATTATTAACTTCATTTCTCTTTTCTCACAAGAACGTGCTTTGCAAACTTGTCCTGGCATCTCGACGCTCATGGCCTGATGTGTGTACAGGCGATTAGTTTTGGCTCTGTCGCTGATTGTGAACAAAACCTCCAGTTAGTCAACACACTGGCGATCGGTGTACATGTAAGTGATCCTGTGCCACTTGTTGTGTCAATGTCTCATTTATCTAGCATGCAGCAGGTTGTAACAGGGGGTATACACGAACATAATCAAGCTTGGTGCGTTCCGCGTTTACTTAAGCTGAGGTCAAACTGCGGCCTGAGACTTCGTGCGCACTTTCATTACCATTCAGCTGCACCTGATGATCTTCCTACTGTTTCGGCGTCAGATGAATGAAAATGTGTTCGCGTGCTCTCAACACATTGAGATTCTTTCTTTTTCTCAAAATGGATAACGTTACCTGAGCAGGGAGTGGTGCTTTCTTGCAGGCTAGCCTAATTGAAGGTTCGCTGGATTTCTGGTTCGCTCTGACTGGCAAACGATAGCGAATCAAGTGTGAAATCAAGTCCACAGGAAAAGCGCGATTTCCAGGGAGGGGAGAAATCAACTTTCTCTAATCTTATTGATATTTTCATAACCCCAAGATTGTACAACTCTGTACGTGATGATCCGCGCGGTGGAATTAAAACATTACGTCAGAATGACGTACATGTTCGTTGCGCTTATACTACTCCCTAGTTGCAAGCACCGCGAATGCAGAGTTTTGTCCTCTGTGCCTCAGCCGCATGACGTAATGTTGGATTTCCTCGGCGCAGTGGGCCTACAGCAGCCAGACCCCAGGTGCACACTCTTGGGGTAATGGACCCTTGATACTTTGTTTGAGGATATCTATCTATCAACATGAGCTTTCAACAGTTTTGTTGAAATGCTCAAGAGACTTACCTTGCACTGCCGATGGCTTTAATCTTCAGCATTGATCGCTTTTGATTTCACGACACTAATGATTCTAGTCGAACATGGTTGTATGCAACTGCGAAGTTCTTCTCCTCTTGGAGGTCGGGAACGTTTTTGTATATCTTCAATAAAAAAATTAGTGTTCATCCGTTTTCGGTTGGTTGTTTCATTTTAAAGTTATTTGCTCGAGCCCTATTTCAATTCAAATATATTCTACTATAGCGTGGATGGTGGCCTGAAAAGTATTGTAAACGTATTTTACTTCATGTGCCTGATAATAGAGAGGTTAAGATGCACGTTATTTCTGACGTGATGCGGAAGTCCAGCTCGCGTTATTTGGCTCGCACGTCGAAAAATCAACGCGAGTGACCTGCTGCTCACGTCGAAATTTGGAGTTTTACGCCAAATGTGACGTGAAATTGCGCGTCACGTCGGAAATAACGTGCATCTTAACCTCTCTATTGTTCGCCAAAACGTACGAATACAACCCCATTCACTGGTTTGAGGGAACGTGCAAACGAGAAAATCTGAAGAAAGCTCTCGCAGTGGTGGTCGTTGCACCAGGAGACAAAAGGGCCTTTCTACTTTAACAGGAGGCAGGACCGCCTTGCTTAGACCACAACTTTTGTCGATATTTGCTTCTTTTTCTTGTCTTCTTTCCTTATATTTCGATTTTATATTTTTGTCTTTGCTCGCCGTGGTTGGCTATCAAAACCTAGCAATCGCCACGCAAAGTTGTCATTGGCTGCTCCAGCCATGTATTGCTTGGAATCAAACTAAACTAAACTAACGGTACTGTGCTAGCAACTGAAATCCGACCCCTGAGCTGTGCGCTCACATCGCAAAGACCCAACACGGGATTGTAAAAATATTTAATTACAGAATAGAGACCGCTAGAATATGTACGCACTGCTCAGCAGTCGGATTTCAGTTGCCAGCACTGTACGGGGCAATCATGTACATGTATGGCTTGTTGGCACTGCAAGTGTTGAAAAAAAACACGCTGCACACCCAGACATTCATGGACCATGATCTCCATCAGACAGCTGTGCAGTTGTGATTTTCAACACGCACTGCCAGCAAACCTTCCATGACAGCGTGTACATGTACGTAAGCTAAACGGGACACGCGCGCAAAGAGTGAGCGGAGGGTGCAGCGTGGAGAGGGATGGCATGGCGTAGATGCCAGGTGGGCAGCTTGCATGACGGCTATATCAGTGCTGCGGTGCAGTATCCGGCAGTAACTATTACCTCTTTGCAGAAGTTCCTTTGATTTCACTATCAGTCTTTTAATATTAGCGCATCTTTTTAAAGGGGTTATCATTTCTGTTCCGGTCATCCAACAACGCAACCTTCTCTGATGAAGTGTAATTGACCGACAGAGCTGTAAGACCGAATAAAACGTTAATGCTCGAAGGCCGAATGCCACCGCTTACTCCCTATGTTTACTGCTCTTCCATCCTTGCATAGGTCACGTGGAATGATGTTCAGGAGCTACATGCTGCTGTTCACTTGCTTCGTGTATATCTTCAGCTGTCATCGCTCCGCTGCACAGATATTTCCTTATGCTCGTAAGTAGTTTGAGAAACTCGGCTCAGGAGTGCTAGAGCCTGTTGGTCACTCGTCATGACGAAAGCATTGAAAGTTTGTAACATTCCCCAATTTTCCATTCTTTCAAGAAGAAGTCAACAATCCCTAAAGACAACCCATCATAGGACGCGGCTAAACTTCTGCTTTTGCTAGAACTGGGCGTATTTATTCCTTGGGTAAATTCATCTCCGAATGTTCTAGAGGCCGTCCCGAATGATATAGATCCGACTCTTCCACAGGTGCAATGAATTAAGACACCAAAGCAGAAGTCACAACTTCTCACTAACACACAGGGGAGCGCAACAAACTTCGTTGTAATTTCGCACACTGACCCAAGTTGATATTGATCAGCGCTAAAAGAGTAATCCTGCGTTCACACAAGCGTTGATCAAGCCCTCGGAAATTGTCACGTCTGCCCTAGTCTTAGTGTTTCGTTATCATTGTCGAGCTGGGAATGTGAATATAGTAAAAAAGAAAAAAGAAAAATTTATAAATGGACTCGGGTGGAGAGCCAAGGATAAATTCTTAGTAAAGAAAAAGGACCAAGAAAATACAAGTTTTGCTATAATGTCCACTAACACCACCAGTTACTAAACAGTCAGCTCATCTTTACTGTAAATAGCAATAAGAGACAATATCTTTGTCTGTCTTTGTCTCTCTCCAATTTCACTGTGTCTCCCTTTGCTCTTTTCTCTGTCTCGCACCGACTCCCTGTCTCTGTAGCTGTCTCTCTGTCACGTCTCTCTGGATCTGTGCCTGTCTCTCTGTCTCTGACCCTGTTTCTGTCTCTGTCTATTGCTATGTCCTCTTTCATTTTGTATCTGTATTTGTCTCTCTTTTCCCCCCGCTCTGTCTCCCCATCTGCCTCTGTCTCTCTCGCTCTTTCTCTCTCTCATTATCTCCCTATCTGTCCATCTCTCCCCCTCTTTCTCTCTCTCTCTTTCTCTTTCTCTCTCTCTCTCTCTCTCTCTCTCTCTCTCTCTCTCTCTCTCTCTCTCTCTCTCTCCCTCTCTCTCGCTCTATGCCTCTCGCTCACTGTAACTCTGTATCTCTATTTGCCTCTCTACTTCCCTCTCTCTGCCTCTTTCGCTCTTTCTCTCTTACATTATCCCTATATCTCTCTCTATCTATTTCTCTTACTCGGGTATTTCTCTGTATGTTTTTTCTGTATCTTTGTCTCTCTGTGTCTCTTTATCTTTCTCTCTCCAACTACTGTACAAGCAGAAATATTCGTCTGGAATTTAATTTCGTCTTTTTCGTCCAAGGAGCTTTTGGACTAAATTAAATGTAGGACGAATATCGATTTGCCCAGCTTTTCTATACACTCTTATGATCCATGGACGAAATTTTCAACCGGACGAACTCCTTTTCTTTGGAGTTGGACGAAATTATTGACCGACGAAATTTTCTGCCTCTACAGTATCTGTCTACCGTAATTCCGCACATATAAGCCCGTGAGCCTATATCCGGATATAAGCCCACCTCCGTTTATAAGCCCATGGGCTAATAAACAGACACAAATGCAACTCACGTGTCAAGTAGAATTTTTCACAAAATGGACTCTTCCTAACATGGTACAGCAGGTCAGTGCAGTTTACCAGTAGGGTATGGTAGACTGACTATGAGCATGGACTTGTACTTTTTCGTGAACCTTAAAAATTCGAATATTGGCCCATGGGCTAAAAAACGAACATGTTTCTCTTGGGGTAATGGACTCTTGATACTTTGTTTGAGGATATCTATCTATTAACATGAGCTTTCAACAGTTTTGTTGAAATGCTCAAGAGACTTACCTTGCACTGCCGATGGCTTTAATCTTCAGCATGTATCACTTTTGATTTCACAACACTAATGATTATAGTCGAACATGGTTGTGTGGAACTGCGAAGTTCGTCTCCTCTTGGAGCAATCACGTGACATACGGGAGTTGTTTTTCCTTCCTTCGTCATTCCATGAGAGCATGGACAATTAACCTGTACAAGCAAAAAGGTAGCTATGCCCGTTAAGTTGGGCGAAGTAAAATAATTATAATATTCCTACAAACCGTATCTACTGTATGGTTTTCAGAGGCTAGTGCCCATTCTACCTTATCTGGCTCATAACCCACGGAAATTGAATGAAGCATGGAAAATTGCACTCCTGTTCTGCCCACTGTCCTGTGCAGCTATTTTCAACTGCCTGGATTCAGCGGGCCTTTACTACGTTAGCTATGCAGCCAATATCAACGTAACTTCGGCACTAACCGCCTGCGCTAATGGAGGGTTTCAACACGTTCCTCAATCATCCACGACAGGTTCTTGTTTTCAGCGATACTACGCACATTTAGTTGCTGCTGGCAATGCCAACATCACACTCTGGATTCAAGGCTCCAGTGGACTGACGTGCTACCCACAATCTGCGCCGTGTCCTACACTTTCGTCATTCATCTGCGGGAAGACCGACATAGCTGCTGCTCCGGGTTAGTATTGGTGACCTGCTCACGTTTAATATGAAGAAAGTATTTTGCTTTTCAGGCATCAGCACAAATAGCAGTTGGGATCGAGCAGCTAATCATCATACTGGTGGTTGGGCACCAAAGCGGTTGAAGGACGGAGATTTACGGCTACAATCATACACAAAATACCACTGCATGAATAATCCCCAGTCTCTAACCTGCAGAGTTATTTTTGAAAAGCAAGTGCATATTGTAGCTCTGCGTGCAACGGTTTAAGTGGGCATTTCCTTCAAAGCAATAATAGGTGTAGTGCCTGCCCACAGTCCTAGTATAGTTGTAAAGCGCCCAATACAATATACTGCGTACTTGATCAAAGTCGCGAGATTAGTTGCCATTTTCTCGCTTCCCTCCCGTGCTTTTGTTGCTTATCGTGTTCTGGTTTGTATTCAATTTGATTTGTCCATTTTCTTCAACTTACTTTTGGGAATACAGTCCCATGCTGTGTGATCAGTGGTGTTGAGTAAAAAAACTACACGCCCTCCCAAAAATATTGATCAAAGTCTGATTGTATGCTGCTGTTTCTCTGAAAGGTGGGAGCACACCATGTCCTGCACCGCCATCGATAGATAACGCCATGGTTATTGCTCCGTCTGGTAGGCAATTCCCGTCAGACGTTCTATACAAGTGTAACCCAGGCTACTCCATTGTAGGCAGTAACACTGCTCAATGCCAGAAAGATGGGATGTGGCACAACCCTGCGAAACATTGCCAACGTAAGTAGTGCCCATTTCCTGGTGATAAATACACTCCCTCGATTGAGGCTAAGGCCTGTGGAGAATTTATAAATACAAAAACAAATGCAAAACTGTCCCGAACCCGCGACGGTGAAAGACAGTTCAGTTCAATTTCTTTGGACTCTTGATCCTGATAGTGTCCAGAGGATGTATCGTTGCATTGAACGTAGCCTGAACATGGGCAAGATTGGGATGGGGGGAGGTCAAGTTTCGGTAGCTTTTCCACTTTTGTGACGATCCGCTGTATGGCATTTTCAGAATCCTGTGGAGTTTTACACGTTTATGTAGACGGAGTGCAATCACGCCAGTTTTGCAATATCCAGCATCTGAATTGTCAGTCCAATTCATCAGCTAATGCCTCACTGATTTCAACTGTAGACAAACACGGACTGCTTTTTTGGTACTGTCGGATATGTCATTGCTTGTAAACATTGTTGTTGTTGCTCTATACGTTCTTTATAGTGGAAATAAAAAACAGGCATAATGCCTAATAACAATGGACCCTCTGTGAATATATTTTTACAAGAAAGGAAAGAAAGTTGCCTCCCCAGCTTGCCCTTTCAAAACATCAAAGGCATGCTTCAAAAGAAAAAAGCGAACTCCTTCATATAGGCGGAAAGTGCGCTGAGAAAGTCTTACCTTCGAGTTGAGGGAGTTGATAATGGAGATAGACGAACGATTTCGGATAGCAATCCCTTTCATTCATGATGAACCTGAAATATAGTAACATGGAAATTGTGGGCACAGGTTATGCGATCGATCAATTTCCATGTTACAAATCTTTTCCTTGGCTCACCATCTGAACGAAATAGAGGTTGCGACTTCGGCGATGATTTTGTTTAGGAATGGGTTTGCTCCCACACTGGAGCTCGCGCTATTCCGCCGACGACTTGACACTTGACTGACTCACGACTGCCATCCAGAGAACACGAGAAGTCCATCGAACCTTCGACTCGGCAAACCTGCAAGAAAGCACCACTCCCTGCTCAATACACAGTGTTTCGGGGAATTCACCCCTCATCAGTTGAGCTTGAGTAGGCTGAGGAAGATTGTGCCTGAAGAGCACCACTTATATAGTGCTGTCCAGGCACAAACATCACCAGGGATACAAACTTACAGAGACACTCCGTTTCTTGAAGTTTTTTGAAATGCACACCTGAAGACCCGTCATGAACAACACAGCGAAACTATCGTCGCGTGAGGCTACTGAAGTGAATTCTGTGTCTACGTTCAACAGCATTCTCGTTCCGGGGAAACCGTTTACACAATCCTTTGGCCTGGAAATTATGTTTTTGCTGACCAATCGATCAGCAGGCTCTGGGCTCGATTTCCGGCATGTGGCACCTCTTTTTCCCGCTCCAATTGGTGGTGTGTTTCCATGCGAAATTTCGTCGAGTAACATAATATTCTGTTGCTCAGTGCCGTGCGATGGTATTGCATGAGCTGATTGTGAAGTAACTGGTGGCCTTAGTGGACATTATAGAGTAATTTGTAGGTCTCTTGGCCTTGTCGTTGCTATCAACATATTTTACCCTTCCTCAAAACAGTTCCCAGCAATACCTCTTATTGTATTGGTCCTGATTTATTTTGCATCTGCAGAAGAAGTTTGTAACACGCCGTATATTGCCAATGGATTTACGGCTGGTACTGCACCAATGTTCAACATCTCTTGTTGCACGGGTTACAAGCTCGTAGGACAGAATACGGTTTCATGTACCAGTAATACTTCAACGACCAAGCTCCCAATATGTGAACGTAAGAAGAATGATAAATCATATACTGATACGGGGCTAACATCTACTTATGTGTGCTTCTGATTCACTGTTGCGGAGATTTTCTGCTGAAATGCTTTTGACGGAAACAGCCATAAGTACAAATGCAGTGCCTGAGGAAAGCAAAAATTACAACAACGGATTTCTTGGGAGGTACCGTTTCATCTGAGTCCTTACTACTCGAGATTCATAGACCTTTTAGAGGTGTTGCAATGATTAATCAGTTCGAGCACTCTGGAAAGGGGTATCCAGGCGTCGTTTATTTCTGGTCTTGGGAACTATAATTATTGTCACTGATAGTAGGCTCGGGGATGTGCTAATGAGACCGCCCAGAGCTCAACGCTTCTCTCCGCAGATGCTGTAAAAGGTCGTACACATAATTATGACTATCCAGAAAGCTGTAAGAAGCGGCTTGGAATGGTTAGAGGGAAGGGCATACCGACCATGTACTTGAAACAACCAATCATCCTCGAGAAGATAATAATGGCTGGCTATTCCAGTTTATTCCACGTAGATCAACCCAGTGCCTGTTGTCTTCAGTTGTGTCCTGCCCACAGATCGTTCAGGCACTGGCGAATGGAACAGTGTCCAACAATCCTAACACTGTATATTCCGTTCAACACTTCACATGTGATGTTGGCTTTAAGCTGGTTGGCTCACTGTCCACAACTTGTCAGCTAAATGGTACCTGGTCGAGTGTACCACCGACTTGTTCACGTAAGCACGGATAGTGAGGCCCGAGGTTGACCAGGTTCTGCAATACTGGGCTTTGCAAGGCCGGTTCCCTTAACAAAATACTTAGTACATGTAATGATATTGAATCGAAGAGCAATGTTTGTGAAACAAACAAAACCGTTTAGAACAACGTTTAGTGAAAGGGCTATATTTCTCATAGCGCTAGCCGCAGTGATTGCAGGTGGCATCATCTGAAGTGACCACAATGCTAGGGTTTTAGGGAATGGGTTTTCAAGACGTTCATTTTGAGAGCTGGTGGTGCACATCAATGGGAATGGTCGAGACGCATGCACTTGCCAGTAAACCATAATAAGGCGAGGTCGGTTTCAGACAAAATTGTGAATGGATGCAATTTCTAAGTTGAAAAACAAAACACTTTCCCAAAGCCAGATTTCTGCTGGTACATTGTGATCTCATGTGTGTTTCCTCACTTGTCTCAAGCACTAGAGGCAGAGAACACCTACAAAATGGTCTCAGAAAGCAAACATTTTAGTACCGTTGCTCCACATTCCCTCGAGCCGATCTATTGTTATTAGGCAATTGTCTGTAGTCGCCACTGTAAATAAAATCCAATCCAATCCAATCCAATCCACAGTAACATTTCCAACAGCAGTTGCATTCGGGCCCGTAAAACAATTTGTGCTGCTTCGTTTCCTCCAGGTATCACATGCGACAATTTATTGTCAGCTCCAGCCAATGGCACACTATCAATTGGACCAAGAACCGCCCTGAGCATACTTGAGTTCTCGTGCAATGAGAGGTATGCGCTGCAGGGATCAAGGTCTTCCCTTTGCCAGTTGGATGGGACCTGGTCAACTGGGACTCCAACATGCACACGTGCGTTTCACATTGACCTATTTGTGTTTTCTCTTAAAACAAACAATAAGATGACAGAGAAAGTGTTTTAACTCCGAGGTTCTCGCACGAAGCGATCATCAGAAAACAGAAATCGGTGGATCTTGCGTTTTCTCAGTATTTACGGTTTCCAAATGTATGCAATTGCTTATGTCACCGCCTTAACAGAGTGGTTGTTCCCTTTTAAGCATGCAGTATGAATCTATGGTTGATATTTCTATCACTATGGAACGAAGTTGGGCCTGAATCTTTTTCATTGGTTTGAGGGAAAGGAGCAAGTGGGAAAAGTCTGAAGAAGAAAGTGCCTATCACCACCAGGACTTAAACGAAGGACGTATCGCTTCTGGTCAGCGATGCTTTATACCCACTAAGCTATGGTAGCGACCATTTAACATTCTCTTCAGACTTTCTTCGTCTCTTTCATACTTTTTTCCTCCAAAAAGGTGTGATGTGCAGCCAGGTACTGTCTGCTCCAGGCAATGGGACAATCTCCACTGGACCAAACACAGCATTAAGCATACTGGAGTTCTCATGCAACCAGGGATACACTCTGCAAGGATCCACTTACACACTTTGTCAACTGAACGGTGCATGGTCACATGGAACTCCCATTTGCAACCGTAAGTTTCACCCGTTGGAGTCCATAACTTTTTTGATTCCTCAGAATTTCTGGCAGTCACGAAAATGCGTACCCAATTTCCAACATAACGTTGGTTCTACTTCATCGATTTTGAAGATCTTGGCCTCGTTGGAAAGCACTTGACGAGAGACGTACAATGCCCACAAACTCGCCAAGAGCACTACTCATTGTCCGCCACAACGCGCTCCAAACCCGCTCTTCTTTTGTGAGTTTTTCCTATTTTTTTTGCAACGTCTGCTTGAATGGTACCGGTATGTGGTATATGGATATGGTGTAAACACCACTTCTCCTGTTTCCCCCATACCATTTGCGGTTTGAAGGAAGATGGATTTAGCGGATTCTGGGAAGACTTTACTCGACAATAGTATAAGAACCGATATGGATTTCAAGCCCAATTTTGGTAGTGCTATCTAATGTGTTGTTTTTTTGAATTTCTTTTTATTTAATTCGGATACTGAGCCAATAAATATAATTAAAAATTAAAAATAGAACAAAATCACATGGAAACGAATTATGAAGCAACTATCACGACTGTAATAAGATAATAAAACAGGGCACACAACTGACATGTTACTGTTATCGCATTTTCTGACTGCTTATTATCTTATTACAGTCGTGGATATGGTTGCTTCATAACTCGTGTCCATGTCATTTCTTCTATTTTTTAAAGTTTTCTTCTTCCGCTTTTTGCAAAAGAATGGTGGGTCCTGCTTCTTTTGAGACCAAAATGGTGCAGATCCGAAAAAAATGAGTGATTTACAGCTTGTTGAAGTCATCGACGGATACTCGTCCATTGTTGACTGGCCGACCGGATAAGGGGTTCCCCAAAGGCTTTCCCAACTCGAGGGGATTTCCAAACTTTCCGGAATTCATCATCATCATCATAAGCCCATTGCCCTAAGGCCGTCGGGGCGTCACAGAGCAAGTATGAACAAGCGAGCGCCATAAAAATCCGGAATTACCTCCTCTTTGAAAGAAGTGACGAGCCATAAGTGAGCAAAGAAGAGATAAATACCGTCATAGTCTAGAGCAGAGCTCTGCGCTTGAATATTTTCCAAGCAACACGTGACTGAAATGGCGACCTGACCTATAGTGGTAATGCGATTACATCAGTAGTTGAGATACTTTCGCGCAGTCGTGGACTCGCAGCACAGCGCTCCACTTGCATTGGCGACTCACGCCGCACACATAGCGCCAATAAGCGAATCCGCTGACTGGCGCTGTAAATTTAGCGCCTCTGAGCGAATCCACTGACTAACAGAGAATATACCAATGCATATTTCCCGTTGGCTGAGAGAAGCGAAAGAAACGAGAAATTTTGTTCTCTGCAAAATAATTTGCACGCGCTGAATGGGTATGAGGGCTTGCATACTTTATTGACGAAGTTGGGCCTGTATCGCTTTCATTGGTCCGAGGGAAAGGAGCAAGTGGGAAAAGTCTGAAGAAGAAAGTGCCTATCACCACCAGGACTTAAACCAGGGACTTATCGCTTCTGGTCAGCGATGCTTTACCACTAAGCTATGGTAGCGACCATTCAACATTCTCTTCAGATTTTCTTCGTCTCTTTCATACTTTTTTTCCTCCAAAAGGTGTAATGTGCAGCCAGGTACTGTCTGCTCCAGGCAATGGGACAATCTCCACTGGACCAAATACAGCACTAAGCATACTGGAATTCTCATGCAACCAGGGATACACTCTGCAAGGATCCACTTACACACTTTGTCAACTGAACGGTGCATGGTCACATGGAACTCCCATTTGCAACCGTAAGTTTCACCCGTTGGAGTCCATAACCTTTTTGATACCTCAGGATTTCTGGAAGTCACGAAAATGCGTACTCAATTTCCAACATAACTTTGGTTCTACTTCACCGATTTTCAAGATCTTGGGCTCGTTGGAAAGATCTTGACGAGAGACGTACAATGCCCACAAACTCGGCAAGAGCACAAGCTTTCATCACTCGAGCGGGTATCCAAACTTTCCAGAATTACCTCGTCTGTAAAAATTAATAAGTCACGAGCCATAGGTGAGCAAAGAAGAGATAAATACATAGTCTACAGCAGAGCTCTGCGCTTGAATATTTTCCAAGCAACACGTGACTGCAATGGCGACCTGACCTATAATGGTTATGCGATTACATCAGCAGTGGAGATACTTTCGTGGAGTCGTGGACTCGCAGCACAGCGCTCCACTTGCATTGGCGACTCACGCCGCACACATAGCGCCCATAAGCGAATCCGCTGACTCGCGCCGTATATCTAGCGCCCCTGAACGAATCCACTGAATAACAGAGAATATACAAATGCTTATTTCCCGTTGGCTGAGAGAAGCGAAAGAAACGAGAAATTTTGTTCTCTGCAAAATAATTTGCACGCGCTGAATGCGTATGAGGGCGTTGGTTGCTGCGAAAAAGTGTGCCTGCATAGATTTGCAGTTCAGTGGTTTTCTTCTTGTCAAGTGTGCAAATACTTAGTTTTCGTTGAGCGAGTTTTTTCCTCCCAAACATCGTCATGAGTCGTCGTGGTGCAAGTGCTGGTGCTCCTGGTAGAGGCAGGGGAAAAGCCAGAGGTCGAGGGGGGAAAGGAGGTGTTCGTGATATGTCCGCCTTCGATTTTCCCGATTCGGACAAGGTAAATACGTCGTCGTCCGAATATGAAACTGCCCTGGAGAGACAGGATGAAGAAGCGCCTTCATCCCGGATGCCAGGTTCCCAGCTCGAAGCAGAGAGGGACCTGCTGGGGATGAAGTTGAGGATGCTAGAGCGCAGCGTCAGCAAGCTGACGGAAAGAGGCAGATCACTGAAGAGGAGGAGGAGAGATTATTCAGACTCTAAATCGTCATCCTCTTCGTCATGGTCGTCGTCGTCCTCCTCCTCCTCGGATTCTAGGAGGTCTAGATCCTCGAAGCGCAGGAGAAAACCAGATGTTCCAGGCTGGAAGACAACGAGCTACGCGAAGCAGTTCGTGCTGAATACAGAACTGCTGGATCTGCCCCAAGCCAAGAAATCAAAATCGAAGACAAGGAGAAGGAAATCTGCAAAGAAAGGTGAGAGACTATTCAAGAAGAGGCAGGAATGGCTGCTGATAGCAGAGAAGCACGGCCACCAGATGGCAACACCTTATCTAAACGGGAGCCAAATTATGGCTGTGGTTGGGGACTCGAAAATGCAGAAACGCCTCCAAGCGGCTATCCAGGCCGAGGGAGCAAGAAAGAAAGCAGCTGGAGCCGTACAGGGGGCGAGCATGCAAGACATGAACATCCCCAAGGCACAGGGAGCCAGTTTGCCACTTAGGCAGTCATCCATGCCCATACAGCCTATGCAGGGTAATCTACGCGCTGGGGTTTGCCATAGATGTGGGCAGGTAGGTCACTATGTCAGCAGCTGCCCCCCACAACATATGAACGCCACTAGGCAAATGGGCCTGCAAACCATGCAAATCTTTATCCACTGACGATGTTGTTCAGAACAACGAAACGTCTGGAGAAGTATCATAAAAAAAAATCTATCGTTATTAAATGTTATCAAATTTACCACTCGGGAGAATGAAGTTGAAGACATCACTGCAGCTGTACTTATGGTTGATAAATATGGTGGTAAAGACACACCTGGCAATATGGCGGTAAACACACGCCTGCCCACACACGCTCTCTAGGCTGCAAAGTTCTGGCACAGAGCTCTCCTTCTCACCACCACCACCATCAGTTCGCGCCTGGCGCCTGGTCGATGCATGGCTGGCGGTATCCGGCATAGCAGGCTGGTACATCAAGTAGCGCATGGCACATAGATGATGACACAGCAACGACATAGCTCGATTGCGACGTAAGTTTCGTCCCCGCTGGACTCATCAGGCAATCTTCTTCTTGGATGTCTTCATACGGAGCTTGACTCGGGAGAATGAAGTTGAAGACATCACTGCAGCTGTACTTATGGTTGATAAATATGGTGGTAAAGACACACCTGGCAATATGGCGGTAAACACACGCCTGCCCACACACGCTCTCTAGGCTGCAAAGTTCTGGCACAGAGCTCTCCTTCTCACCACAACCACCATCAGTTCGCGCCTGGCGCCTGGTCGATGCATGGCTGGCGGTATCCGGCATAGCAGGCTGGTACATCAAGTAGCGCATGGCACATAGATGATGACACAGCAACGACATAGCTCGATTGCGACGTACGTTTCGTCACCGCTGGACTCATCAGGCAATCTTCTTCTTGGATGTCTTCATACGGAGCTTGACTCGGGAGAATGAAGTTGAAGACATCACTGCAGCTGTACTTATGGTTGATAAATATGGTGGTAAAGACACACCTGGCAATATGGCGGTAAACACACGCCTGCCCACACACGCTCTCTAGGCTGCAAAGTTCTGGACCAGAGCTCTCCTTCTCACCACCACCACCATCAGTTCGCGCCTGGCGCCTGGTCGATGCATGGCTGGCGGTATCCGGCATAGCAGGCTGGTACATCAAGTAGCGCATGGCACATAGATGATGACACAGCAACGACATAGCTCGATTGCGACGTAAGTTTCGTCCCCGCTGGACTCATCAGGCAATCTTCTTCTTGGATGTCTTCATACGGAGCTTGACTCGGGAGAATGAAGTTGAAGACATCACTGCCGCTGTACTTATGGTTGATAAATATGGTGGTAAAGACACACCTGGCAATATGGCGGTAAACACACGCCTGCTCACACACGCTCTCTAGGCTGCAAAGTTCTGGCACAGAGCTCTCCTTCTCACCACCACCACCATCAGTTCGCGCCAGCCATGCATCGACCAGGCGCCAGGCGCGAACTGATGGTGGTGGTGGTGAGAAGGAGAGCTCTGTGCCAGAACTTTGCAGCCTAGAGAGCGTGTGTGGGCAGGCGTGTGTTTACCGCCATATTGCCAGGTGTGTCTTTACCACCATATTTATCAACCATAAGTACAGCTGCAGTGATGTCTTCAACTTCATTCTCCCGAGTCAAGCTCCGTATGAAGACATCCAAGAAGAAGGAGTCAAGCTCCGTATGAAGACATCCAAGAAGAAGATTGCCTGATGAGTCCAGCGGGGACGAAACGTACGTCGCAATCGAGCTTTGTCGTTGCTGTGTCATCATCTATGTGCCAAGCGCTACTTGATGTACCAGCCTGCTATGCCGGATACCGCCAGCCATGCATCGACCAGGCGCCAGGCGCGAACTGATGGTGGTGGTGGTGAGAAGGAGAGCTCTGTGCCAGAACTTTGCAGCCTAGAGAGCGTGTGTGGGCAGGCGTGTGTTTACCGCCATATTGCCAGGTGTGTCTTTACCACCATATTTATCAACCATAAGTACAGCTGCAGTGATGTCTTCAACTTCATTCTCCCGAGTCAAGCTCCGTATGAAGACATCCAAGAAGAAGATTGCCTGATGAGTCCAGCGGGGACGAAACGTACGTCGCAATCGAGCTATGTCGTTGCTGTGTCATCATCTATGTGCCATGCGCTACTTGATGTACCAGCCTGCTATGCCGGATACCGCCAGCCATGCATCGACCAGGCGCCAGGCGCGAACTGATGGTGGTGGTGGTGAGAAGGAGAGCTCTGTGCCAGAACTTTGCAGCCTAGAGAGCGTGTGTGGGCAGGCGTGTGTTTACCGCCATATTGCCAGGTGTGTCTTTACCACCATATTTATCAAATATACCACTCTTTGGTCTAGAAAGAATACTTTTTGATATTACAATGAGAGTGAATAATCAACGGCTTGTCCACCAACTCTTAAACCATGCAGCATTGATTTACTGAGCGGATTCCTTTTTGTAGGGCTGCTGGGGTGCCTTGGTGCAGTGCATTATGTGTCAATTGCTGTTAGAGATCTTACACGTAATAAGATCTCCTGCCACTAATGCGGTGTCAAGCGGTGTCAAGCAATCTTTGCTATGCTTTGTGCAGCAGGCCTGCACACATCACATGTACGTAGTTTCCGTAAAAGCCCCTGTATACGCCCACCCGAAATTACGCCCACACTCCGTGTACACGCCCAGTCAAGGGTAGTCAACACTTTTGTTTCAAAATAGCGCCCATGCCCATGTATACGCCCAGGTATGCCGGCAACACCAGTACATGTACGGGTACTGATACCCAATACTTACTGCTATCCCTATTCCAAGTATACGCCCAGTTCCAAAATAACGCCCGTGCCCTTGTATACGCCCAGGAAATCGAGGCTGCTATTCTATACCCCCCGGGGCCTACTAGTATACACGGACTTTTACGGTATTGTGCCTTGTTGTGGCTCAGTGTGGGGGTTGATTCACGGGCAAACCATTTGAAACTGAGAAGCCTCTTTTACGGGCAAAAAGTAACAAAATGGATTAAAATGCAATAAAACATACACTGGAGAAGAAATCAGAAAAATGTACATGTACGTGTGAAATAAAGATTTTCAAACCCAAACCAAGAAACATTCAAATCAAATCCAATGACTGAAATTTTAACAAAAAGTAAATTATCGTGTCCATTCCCGAAGGGAATTCACGACGGCCGCTAACACCCGGTAAAACCTAGCCGTCGATGCAGCGCCTAACGGTGGGGTGAGTGGATAAGTCTCACAGCCACTGGCACAAGTGCCGAGAAAGACCCCGTCAGCCGCATCCATGTACATCATACATGATAGCGGAGTTCAGTGGGATGTTGACGTTTCGGTTTGTCACAATTCGTCTTCGCTTAGCTTCCCCTTTCTATGTTTATTACATAAACTTGAGCCTCCCAAGTTGGGTAGTCTGTTGCTTTGCGTCGTCGAGTTTTTGTAAGCCCGGTATGTCCAATAGTCTTACTAGTATCGTCATCAGCCAGTAACTTTCGGCATCCTTTGTTGCTGTGATGCGTAGCTCGTGCTCTTCTTCGTTGCGCTTTCCTTCCCCTCTTGGACCTTTCCGAACCTGAGCCTTCCAAGTTGGAAGGTTGCTGGTTTGCGCCTTGAAGAAGTGTTGGAGCTAGGTGTCAGGTCGCCGAATGTCTCAGTACTCCTTGTCAGTTTTGTGCCATTTTGTCGCACTCGCTGACTGTATAAGATCTGGTTACGTTGGTGGACAGTTAGTCATAACTCCTAACATTTTGTCCTTCTTCTTTTCACAATTATTTAATTGGCTCACCATCCGAGTTACATTATTATTATTAATATTAATATTGTAAAGCTTTCCTTTTGATCTTGTCTCTCATTGCTGTTGTGACCTTTCCACAATATTGTGTTGCATTGTTAAAAATAATAATTATCTCCAAGCATGGCCAAACAAGTGACGTCATAACAAGACTGTGCATAAACTAGTGCTACCGTTTTTGGCGACTGCTAGAAAAGCAGGCGGCGAAACGCACGTACAATGTAGGTCTTTTGTAGGGTTGCTAGTACATTTTCCTGTGTGATCTTCCTTGACCACACGACTGCCTGGTGGAACATGCATGCCAGGAGGTTACTGTCCCTCTTTTCGATTTGCTGTTTGCTTCGCCATACTTTCCTGCTTTCGTGGTTCGGCTTCTCTCTGAGTGCGAATTGTTTTGGTATTTTATCCTCCTTGGAAGTGACGGATCACTGTGTGGTGTTCTATTTCTACTATCCAGCCATTACTTGCAATCAAGTTCTCTCGGCTCCAGTGAATGGTGCAGTATCAGTGGGACCAAGAACAGCGCTGAGCGTTCTCGACTTCTCATGCAACCAGGGTTTTACCTTGCAGGGATCAAGATCAACCCTTTGCCAGCTAGATGGGACTTGGTCCAACAGTGCTCCCTCATGTAAAGGTACATAAGCCTTGTTAGAAAATACCTGATTCTGTCTCATGAACATTCTAACAACATGAAGTTGTAATACTGTATAACTATAAGTACTACTTCAGAAGTAATTTTCGTTCGCGAACGCTTTCGTCAGATCGCTCCGCCAGCAGGCTTGTTACGTACTAAATTTCGTTTTTGGTCGAGATCTGTCACCCGGAACGTTCAGAAAAAATTTAGTTTGGTACAAACTTTAGTTATTTCGTGCCCCTACCGAGTATAGCGAAAGTCTATTCCAAACGAAAATTTGTACTTACCTGTATACAGTAGTTTAGCCTGCATGCCACAAGCTTGCCAGATACCTGTTGTTTGGATTCTTGTACAGTGATAACGTGCAGTCAAGTTGTCTCTCCTCCGGCAAATGGTGCAGTATCAACAGGACCCGGAACAGCGCTGAGCGTCCTCGACTTTTCGTGCAACCAGGGCTACACCCTGCAAGGATCACAAACCACCATTTGCCAACTTAATGGTACCTGGTCAAGTGGAACGCCAACCTGCAAACGTATGTATTATTGGGTACCATTTCAAGTTGAATTCTTTCAGTGTAATTATAGGTATGATGACATCCCATTTCCAAGAGCAAGTCCGAGCAATCAAGGAAAGGTACTCGACTACAGTGCTGGAAACGGAAAACCGACCCCCACGCGATGCGTTCACATTCTATTGGTCTCTATGTTGTGGGTTTATTATCCCGTGTTGGGTCTTTGCGATGTGAGCGCACCGCTCAGTGGTCGGATTTCACTTAACAGCACTGGAGTAGTCAAATGCAGTCAGGCAAAAGAGCAGCAAGGATTCATCAGATTGTTGTTTTCTTGAGGCCCTTTTACATGTAATCAGTTCCCTCTTATAAGTTGCATCAGTGCTCGCTTCAAGTAACAAAATGCATCCATGGTCAGGTACACTGTTGTATTCTGTTTTTACTTTCCAGTCATCACTTGCAATCAGGTTCTCTCGGCTCCAGTGAACGGTGCAGTATCAGTTGGACCAAGAACAGCACTGAGCGTTCTCGACTTCTCATGCAACCAGGGTTTTACCTTGCAGGGATCAAGATCAACTGTTTGCCAGCTGGATGGAACTTGGTCAAGTGGAACTCCAACATGCAAACGTACGGGAAATATTTTTCGTTTCCATGTATCAATCAATGGTGGCGACACCCTTTTTGCGTTAAATGACGGCCTTCAATTTCTAAAATTTATTCTGAGTGTTTTGGAGCCATCAGTTGCCTTATGGCGACGACTTTACGTGAAACTCGGAGTCCATACACAGCTTCCTTTCTCTATTGTGTCACTTTATCCTGATACCGATCCAGTGTGCTATTGTTTTGAATATTAGCAAAATCCCGTCTCCTCTGCCACGAGGGCTTTCCCGTTTCCTCACAGATAAAGCGAGGAAGAATCCCAAGTTTTGAGAAGTATTTTTCCGATGTGGATTTTGCCTGTTAAAAAGCTAAGCAGTAGAGCAATCGCTTTCGCTTTGCCTGTGTGAGAGAGAAGCAGTCCTCTTGGAAGGGTATGGAAAGACCACTGTTTGTGGTGCTATTGAAACACTTGGTTAGTTCTTCTTTTGAGGAGCAAGCAACCGGTAATCTAGAGCACATATCCCGGTTCAAGTCTGTGATGTGTTCAACTTTGAGTAAGCATCTGATGGGTTCTTTGGTATTCAGTAAAAAAACTCTGCACCAAGTATTTCGAGGTTATATCATCGTTTCATTTTGTTTAGTTACATGAAAATTGTGACGTTCATACCGTGGAATGTCTCAGTACTCCTTGTCAGTTGTGTACTAGATTATGCACGTCGGACTGTTCAAAATCTGGTTTAGTTGGTGCACACGATCGCATCACTTGCCCACAATTTCCATGTTACAAATCTTTTTCCTTGGCATACCATCTGAGTTCTTATTTTGTATCTTTGTTCTTCTACTATCCAGTCATCACTTGCAATCAAGTTCTCTTGGCTCCAGTGAACGGTGCAATATCAGTTGGACCAAGAACAGCACTGAGCGTTCTCGACTTCTCATGCAACCAGGGTTTTACCTTGCAGGGATCAAGATCAACTATTTGCCAGCTAGATGGGACGTGGTCAAGTGGAACCCCAACATGCAAACGTATGGAATATAAAGTTTCTTTTCCCTTTACCTATCAGTGCCAATGACAACCGTTGTGTCGTTCTATGACAGCGTTCAATTTCTAAATTTATTCTGCCTTTTTGGAGCCATCAGTTACCTTTAAAAGACCAGGCCTTAACGTGGCATGACTCGGAGTCCCTACAAAGCTTCCTCTCTCTATCGTGTGGCTTTATCCTGATACCGATCCAGTGTGCAATTATTTTGAATATTGGCAAAATATTGTCTCCTCTGCCAAGGGGACTTCCCCTTTCCCCACAGATAAAGCGAGGATGAGTCTCAAAGTGTCAGAACCTTTTTTCTTATATGCATTTTCCCTGCTAAAAAGCTAAGCAGTAGCACAATCGCTTTCGCTTTGCCTGTGTGAGAGAGAAGCAGTCCTCTTGGAAGGATATGGAAAGACCACTGTTTGTTGTGGTATTGAAACATTTGGTTAGTTCTTGTTTTGAAGAGCAATCAACCGGTAATCGAGAGGACATATCCCCGTTCAAGTCTGTCATGTGTTAAACTTCGAGTAAGCATCTGATGTTTCTCTGGTATTGAGTAAAAAATAAAAATAAAAACACTATAACAAGTATTTCGACATTAAATCATCGTATTATTTTGTATTTGTAGCACAGAAATTGTGACTTTCATACCGTGGAATGTCTCACTACTCCTTGTCAGTTGTGTGCTAGATTGTGCACGTCGGACTGTTGAAAATCTGGTTTAATTGGTGGACTCGATCGCATAACTTGTGCCCACAATTTCCAGGTTACAACTTTGTTTCCTTGGCTCAACATCTGAGTTATTAATTTGTATCTTTGTTCTTCTCCTATCCAGTCGTCACTTGCAATCAAGTTCTCTTGGCTCCAGTGAATGGTGCAGTATCAGTGGGATCAAGAACAGCACTGAGCGTTCTCGACTTTTCATGCAACCAGGGTTTTACCTTGCAGGGATCAAGATCAACTATTTGCCAGCTAGATGGGAGTTGGTCAAGTGGAACTCCAATATGCAAACGTATGGATAGAGTAATTTATGCGTCTTTCATTTCCCACGAATGATGGTGGCGACTTTGGCGGGAAAATGTTATGAGAATGTTATGTAGTTTAAAACCTTAGTTTTGAGTTAGTGGTGGTGGCTTCTTTCAGGTTTGCTGAGATTAAGGTTCGATGACCTTCTCCTGTGCTTTTTATGACAGTCTCCAGTCAATCGAATGTCAACTCAAGTCTGCAGAAAGCGTGAAGTCCGAAGTGTAGAGCCATACACATTTCCTGCTCAATTTTTGGGCTGAAATGTACGCTGCCACTCGAATGGCAGGGATCAGAACAATCCTTTTATCATACGGCTGTTGATTGTGTTTTTGGCCGTTCAGATTATGGTTGATGATCATGTGAAATCTAGCGTGATGACTGCAACTATAAGTTATCACACATCGATCTGAATCATTGTATCCGTCGATTGTTCTTCCTTCACTGTCCAGTAATCACGTGCAATCTGGTTCTCTTGGCTCCAGTAAATGGTGCTGTAACAACTGGGCCAGGAACAGCACTAAGCGTGGTCGATTTTTCCTGCAACCAAGGCTATATCTTGCAAGGATCGCGATCAGCTATTTGCCAGCTAGATGGGACTTGGTCAAGTGCAACTCCATCATGCAAACGTACGTAATGACATAATGCCATAATTTTGTCAGATTGCTGTGTTCGCATCGTATGTCGTGGTCGTAGGTGGCCGGTTGCCACGGGCTTCCTACACAACTAGTCATTTTTGGACATGGTAGACAATGCTTGCGCACAGCTAGATAAGTCAATTTCTAGGAACGACTTGAAACGATAATCAACAATGCATCCAATTATGTTAAAAAGGCACCTAGCATTCCTTGGTTTTGCCAAAATATTAGTGCTGCGCTATCTTAAAAAACAAAAAAGTGGGGCTCTCAACGTCTACTTGGAGTAGTAGGAGACTGACACATTTTTCTCCTTATCCAAAGTATATGCGGATAGCTGTCTCCCCGAAACATCTCTTGTTTGCAATACGGCTATGATGCGCGTTTATCTTTTGCGACAATGCTGTAAGTGTGCTTTTGATGTAAATCCCTACAAGGCATTCCTCTTAACAATGCCTAGTAGGGACCTTTCACACCACACGAACGGATAGGAAACGAATGCTGATTCGTTTCCTGGGTTCGAGGATTCTTCAGAGTCCCTCATGAGAGCACGTTTTCACCAATGGAAGCGTCTTCATTCGTCGATCGCTCGAATCTCCAAATCCGTCAGGTTCACGATTGTGAGGTTTTGCATTCCGAATTTCGGGTCGGCATTCTTCGGTCATTTGTCGAACAAATGTAGAATTTTCGAACCAAGTTTGTTTTGCAAGTCGAAAATAATATGTTTTCATTTCGTGAACTCCAGCATCAGCAACGCCCTATCTCGTGGTCCTTTTCTTGCTGATTCCAACGAACTTTGATGGCCCATACTATAGAGTCAAGGGCCAAACCTGCCTCCTCAGTTGCCTCCGAAAAACAACTACATTGCCAAGTTATGCGTATCGCCATAGTCTTTTCAGCCACACAGATGACGGTGAGGACACTCCAGGCCAAGGGGAGTAGACAGCAATGGAGAGGAGCAATCAGAGGTGGCTGACAATGCTGATGACGCCCAAGATTCCTGCGAAGCCATGCCGAGATAAGAAACCTCTTGAATAATTCACGTGCTAGCGCTATTCTACAAGAAACCCCTTCCGAAAATATTTTCCAGAATGTGAGCTTTTTCCGAACAAATATGCTGAATCTTCGTGTGCATTTTCGACCTCGCTCCCGCGTGCCAAATCTTTTGCCGAATTTCGGAATGCAAAACCTCACTGTTTGGCCGGGTACACATTTTTCCTTGATTCGAGGTGCAGAAATAAATACATAAATAAATAAATTCCATAAAGCCTAGTTCACATTCGACGGGGCGCGACGGAACGCGACGTAAAGATCGACGGGAAGCGACGTGACAGTCAGACAGCGTCCAATGTGAACACGAGAAACGGGAATGCAACTGTGCTGCCGTTCGGATCGGGAAGCGACGGGAAGAGTTGGATCAATCCATCTTTTCATACCGTAGACGGGCGTAGACGGGGACGCAAGCGTACAAAACAGTTGGATTTTGAGTGTGAACAGGAGACGGTGTGTTGCGCCGACTACTCCCGATTCGTACTTGGCAATTTTTAGCATTTCGAACCCTGCGCTTCCCATAATAACTCGCAGAATGGCTAACACAACTTCAGTTGAATATTAGCAAGATAAGGTCTGATGTCACTTTTGGTATTTAGGGATAGTTCAAGAGCGTGACAGACAAACTGTTTTATCATTTCCTGGAGCTATTATTTGAATGGCACGCCTTTCGAAGCAACTTGTTTAGAGTTCATGAAAAACTGGTATTGTGAACTTGATTCCACTTCATCCAAGAAGAAATAATTGAAAAGAAATCCCAAAAAACAAGAAATTAGGTCCGTAAGTGACCCTGTTACTTACCGTGCCTTATGGCTGGCGCCGTTCGCTGTTGAAGGACGCAACGACTGCAACATGTCGTGTCGTACGAATCGTACAAGATTTTACAGGTCAGTCCTGCCTTCCCGACAGGCCTACCATCAGCGTTCCATTGAACTAGGCTTAAGGTACGGGACGTAAGGCTTAATCCATGCACGTGTATGTGTAAACATGCGTATGCCAAGCTACCGCTCGTATTCGTACTTCGAAGTAGCTGCCATGGAAAATAGCATGACGACTTGCGAAACCTGAATCTGTTTTCAAGGAAACGATGACGAGAGGAATCAAACTTTCGTTTCACCTTCGATTTGCAGCAGATGCGTAAGATCCCTCGTGCGTTGAAGGAACATCCAAGTGTTAAATTTGAGTATCTACACGTCATGAACGAAATCCAAATAATTATAGGTGTTTCCCCACTAAATTTCCTTAAAATGCCCTGCTAAAGCAGATATTAATTAGTTGCACTCTGTGTTGTGATCTCTAGGTATTACCTGTGATCACGTTTTACCCGCTCCTGGAAATGGCACTGTCTCGAATGGATCCAGAACAGCATTCAGCATTCTCTATTTCTCCTGTAATGAAGGATTCAACCTGCAGGGCTCCAAGTCTACTCTTTGCCAGGCTAATGGAACTTGGTCAAGTGAGACGCCAGCCTGCAACCGTACGTAGTAACCCAATGTTTCCAGGTTGGATAGATTGCCTCCGGGATTCACCAATAATTGACTCCTCATCATTTTGTCGGAACTAGGTCTCCGGACCTGGTGAGAAGGCAGAAATGCCTGTTCACATTCCTAGGGTTCCCAGTAAAAAGGCAACGCCTGTTGGGAGTTCCCTGGTAAAATAATAAATTCTACTACTACTACTACTACTACTACTACCACTACCACTACCACTACCACTACCACTACCACTACCACTACCACTACCACTACCACTACCACTACCACTACCACTACCACTACCACTACCACTACCACTACCACTACCACTACCACTACCACTACCACTACTACTACTACTACTACTACTACTACTACTACTACTACTAGGGATGTCAGCGAACGCACTGCGCAGGCCTCTGCGCATGCATTGCGTCATCGATTTTTTGAACGTGATCGCGGCCGACAGAGAAAACATGGCCGCGGTCTGTTTGCACCGCTGGGAGTCGTAAAATTACTGTTCTTCTGTCCCCGCGACCATTCAAATCATACGCGATACAGGAGGACCCACGAGCTCACCACGTTCTCCCCGGTCGATTTCTCTGAAAGTTTGCACATCGTGAAACACCAGTATGAGAGGTGTTCAGGCCAATTTTCAAGGGATTACCCTGGTTGGATCGTACCAAAATCGGACTTGCATTTCTCGCTCGCGGCCATTTCTTGCGCGATGGAAGCGCCCTGCCCTGGTGAGTAACCAGCGTCGCGCTTGGTAGAGAGTTGCTGAAATCAGCTCCCCGATGTCTTCGCTGCCATTGTCAGAAGCGATGGGCCCTGAATTTGTTTGAGAGTCTCTGGATGCTACTTTTCCTCAGCCTAGTTTTCAGCCATTCCGTGCATCTTCTTCGCACGATTTATTTTGCAAAAAAATGAAAGGGTTCATGAGTTTTTTTGTCGGCCACGCGTAGATGGGCCAGGCTGACCTGCGCAGATGGGCTGCGCAGTGCGTTCGCTGATATCCCTACTACTACTCACTTGGCGAATATAAAATATAAAAACAAGCAAAAAACATTTGACCCACAGATGTGTCAAACTAGCTGCGAATGCCATGGCATTGCATATCCCCAAACTATTTGTTAGATAAAATCGCTAGACATGACGTTCAACCTATGCAACGCTAGATTGCCCCTGACATGAGTGCTGGAATAGAACTACAGAAAAGTAAGAGTGGATCTGGTGTAGGCACCGGCGGATTATGCTCGAAAAGTTGCCAGATTCTGCTAAGAAAAGCAGTAAAATTGGCAGAACCATACAAACCTTATTGCGGGCAATTGCTCGAATTCTGCTCCATTTCTTTATCCACATACCAAACATGCATAAAACTTACCAGAAAAAGTACCGAATTTGCCAATTTGTCTGCCGGCAGAATCCGCCGGTCCCTAATATTCTGGTGTAACCTTCATGTGCACCAGCCAGATGTGCATGTATGGTGTAGGTCAACAGTGAAACTTCGAACGGTGTATTTGCTGTTCTGTTCCCCCAGGCATTGCGTGTAGTGCCGTGATCACACCACCAGAGAATGGCATGGTTCTGGAGGGCTCTATCCTCTTCGGCAGCATACGCGGGTTCTCGTGCAACCAGGGCTATGAACTGCGAGGTTTCCATTACGCCCGTTGTCAGGAGAATGGAACTTGGTCAGCTTCTTCGCCTACCTGTGTTCAACAAGAGCCGTCGTGTAAGTACTGAGATATAACACCGATTCTCAATGTCTAATACACTTCCCCTTGGACAGTCAGGGATATTTCTCGCCAAGTACTAATCGTTTGTGTAGCTTGCTGCTTCGCAGGCAGGCATAGTGGGATGGTCTAAGAATGATCATGATTGAGAATCGGAGGGTACCGGTTCAAGTCCTGCTTGGAAGCGGAAGGATTTTTCCAACCGTGATGGAACCCGCAATTCATTGGGAACTCGTGGCCCGGCATGAGGGAGACATAGATGCAGTGAATTGGATTTTCCGTCTTTGACCACTTTGTGGTGGGTCTGATCTACTCACCTCCCACTGCTTAGAAGCTGCATATGCGCCTTGATCCACGAGGATGGCGGCGTTCCCGCGGATGCGGAAAACTGGGCCTTTGGCCGAGTTTCATGCGAACCGTGAAATTAATATTATTTCAAGGAAGTGTGAGTTACGAAGCTAGTCTGAAGAAAATGTTGAACGGTCTCTGCTGGGATGATGACTACACCATAGGTCAGTGGCTAGAGCAGTGGTTAAAGCATCGCTGGCTACAAACGAGGGTCCCTGGTTCAAGTCCTGGTTTTGATAGTCAATTTTTTCTTCAGTCTTTCCTCGTCCGTGTCGTTCCGTCAAACCAGTGCATACTTCAAGTATTATTGTTATTATTTTGCTGCTTCAGCCTTGCTAGGGGTTGTCCCTTCAGCCTTGCTAGGGGTTGTCCCGGCGAGTAAAAGTTATTATTTTAGATATGAGAATTCGTATTACCGGTACTTCGTTCGGGAGGGAGGAGATGCAAGTTGCGACGAAGTAGGGTATGTGTGGGGGGGGGGGGAGGGGGGAGGGGATATCGATCTCCAGAGAAATGCTGGGCAATGTGCAAGCGTGCAGTTTTTGATCTAACCATACCGTGTGAAAGTCAACATCGTAAATCTCCGCCACAAGGCTTCGGTACCACAGCTGTACCAACACCCTGATGCTGTTAGATCATTGTTGCTGTTGGGTACAATGAATTCAAATGTCCCTTTTGAGGAAAATGTCGTCGATCCTCTGCGGAAACATTCATTAGTTGAGACAATGGAAAAAGGAAAAGCTTGGAAAAATGTTGGCCGACACCACCATGGACAAAGGGCTCGAACTGGGGACCTTTGCCTTAGGGCAGCGATGCTCTTTTTATTTTTTTATTATTATTTGAAGGATTCCCCAAAGGCCGAAGCCTAAATCAAGGGGGTCTCCAAGAATAAATATACGTGTACAATACGTATACAATAGGGTGCAATTTTTAAAAGGAAGAAAATATTAAGATAAAAAAGATTAATGTGAAGAGGTTAATTAGGAAGTCTGAGTACAAGTAGAAGCAGGCGAAAAGGGTACTGGTAAAGAAGGGGGGTAATCAGGGAGTGAGAAAACTTCGAGGATGGAATCTATACCTGTGTAAATGGGACTTAACGTGCCGGCTAAATACACCACGGGTTTCAGATATTCTAATCTCGGTAGGCAGGGAGTTCCACGTGGTGATCATGGAATGTAGTAGGGTGGAGCGAAAACAGGGACCGGTGTGAGGGGGCACTGGGCAGGACGTAAAAGTGAGGACGTCGTGCACTCTAGACAGTGCGCGCCGGTGAAGACATCATCCCAGCAGAGATCGACTTCTACAGGTAGATGTACAGTAAAGCCTGGTTTAAGCGACCACCCACGGTGCAAGCAAAAGCGGTCGTTAAAGCCAGGTGGTCTTTAGAACCAGGTCCTACAGTGTCTGTGTAGAACGGTGTAGAACTGTGTAGAACTGTCGGTGCATGGAAAACCGTTGTTAAAAGCAGGTGGTCGCTAAACCCAGAGATCACTTACACCAGCTGTTACTGTACTAGCTGCACATGTCGGCCGCATCAAAAGTTCACTTTGTATTGCTTGTGGCTGGATGCACTGGTACGATACCTTGCAAGACAAAACTTCAGCGAAAAAATTACTCAGAGAATTGTGTGTTGTGTTCACAAAATAAAAACTCAGGCCACCAATAGTCGACAAATTATATATATGCGCCGAATAAATGTTGATTTAGAGCACATTACTGGCGGTTCAAAACATTTTAATGTTTTATGCGGCAAATTGCTATGCCTATTTTCACAGTCATTGGCACATGATTTTTGATCGTCGACGAATCTATCTGTTCGACATGTTACCTAGAGAACCGCCAAGTTGTCGACCTTCTTGTCTAGATAGTACGGCCAAGGATACTGCTGAACATGAAGTCTACCAGATCTCAGCGCTAAGCTCACTTCCTCTTGGCAATAATGCAACGTGATTGAAACAATGCCAGCAGGTTAACCATGACACGTCCTTTTTGTGGGGTTGTAGGGAAGACTAAGGAAAATAATGCAGGATTTTAGTCTTGAATGAGTTCAGCAATAGGGCCAACAATTTGTCCAAGGAAAAAGCGTTAAAACGTGTTTTTTGTTCTCGTGTCTATGTTCGTTAGCTGCAGGTTCCGAATCACAACAACTCCCGACTATTGCAGCTGGCGGAATTGGATTCGTCATTGGCTCTCTGATGATGGGAATAGTCCTTGTCATCATGATCAAGCGGCTAAGACAGCAGGAACCGAAAAAGACATTCCGCGTGACCATGCCAGATACGAAGACGGATGAGTTGACGCTACTCGAGTCGCGAATGGTCACCAATGCCGCGTACGATACAGTTCGTCCTACCAAAAGGGCGGATGAGGGAGAATATGAAGTGATGAACCCTTCAATGTAATATCTTTCCCATTTCTTACAATATCTCATTCTCGTCTTGCAAGGATATGTGGATTATTTGATCCTTAATCTGAAACTCAGGTATGTTGAGCCAATAATAACATGTAGAAAGTAAAAGAACATATGGATAAGAGTTTAGAGTAACGGTCTACCACTGCAACTAGATACTATAATTATACAGTCAGAAAGTGCAATAACTAGGCACAAAACTGACAGAGTACTGATACATTCGACGACTTGACACCTAGCTTCAACACAAGTGACTTTTTTCTTTTCAACCTGGACTCTTCCTTGGTTTCCCCTTTCTCTCTAGCTACTCTCTTGTACCTTCTTGCCGCTATTATTCACTTTAAACATGTGGGGCTTTGAATAAAACAAGTCTAAGCTTCGACACATTTCCTTAGCGCTAACCAACAGACCGAAGAGGGGGGAGGTAAGCGCACCGAAAATGAGCACAAGCTACCGGCAGTCCCACGGGAGCCAAGGATGTCGATTGTAACTGGGCGATGACGAGACCAGTAAGATACTTGACAAAGCAGTCTAACTACAATTCGAAGAAGCTAATCAGCCCACCGCCCTACTTGGGTGGCTCAGAAATATCAAAGACACATGCACACCAGTTCATCTTGTTGGTTGATTTTTATTTCATTTTGCAAATTCTAGCGGGATGACGACCAAATAACATGGTGGCGAAGGGCTGGCCAAGGCACGTCTATGGAAGAACGCAATAAGATAATAGGCAAAACACGTTAAGGTGGCTCGTACCTAAATCGAGACCTCGTCCTTTGTGCATCCTTCTGCGCCGGTTTGGAGTAGAAATATGATGAAACATTATCACCTTTTGCCCCTCGCGGGTTCGAACCTCCCCGGTAAAAACTTGTTTTTTTTCTTTTTCGGTAGTGGTTTTGAGCAACCAAGCATGATAATGCAATTGTTTCTTCACTTCGGGTTGAGGTTTCCAGCCTGAAATTGGAAGTACTAGAGCTGAGGAACTTCACAACAGACACACTTTCTCAAACTGCCAATGACACCCACGGCCGTAGCACAAGTACCGGTACTAACGAAATTACTGTAGAGCCCTCCCTGTATGAAACTGACACATCCATCACCACTGCACCGCAAACACAGCACACCTCTACATCGCAGCATGCACGCGCGAGTTCAAATTATAGAAATAAAACTGCTTTATGGTAGCTTTCTACAAAACAAAAAGTAAGAGTGGGGAGGCTTCCTGCAGTTTCATATACAGCTAAGAGTAGAGCCCACACGCTCTCTTCCATTAACACTGCAAAAGTCAAACTTGTTTCACAATAATTATTCCAACGTTTCGGCAAATTGCCTTCCTCAGGTTCACGTGAACCTGAGGAAGGCAATTTGCCGAAACGTTGGAATAATTATGGTGAAATGAGTTTGACTTTTGCAGTGTTAATGGAAGAGAGCGTGTGGGCTCTACTCTTTAAAACTGTTTCTACAAAAGGTTCTTGTGTTCTAGTCCTGGGTCCTTCCCCTATAGAAAATTGATAAAATTGCTTTCCAAACTGCCTTGGATTCCGTTTGAAAGGTAAGAAATTAACAAAATGTGATTGTCGGAAATTTAAATTTCACACAAAACTCCACAATAATCACAACACTTGACAATCAAATACTGCTTTCAGTTTCAACACTTGTTTAATGATAATAACTTTATAAGGATGACCCAAAGGCTGACTGCCTATCGTGGGGTCCGTCACATCGGACTACACATCGACGAGCATCTCACCTTCCAGCCGCAAGTCGAGAAGGTCTGCGGTGCGGTGTTCGGCAAGATTGCCGCCTTCAGACATGGCCGAAAAAACCTAACACCTGAAGCGAAGAGGACGTTCTATCAAGAGTACATAACCCCCCCAGAGTGTGCAACGCCGATCCAGCTCTGTATAGGGTCTTGGTCGAGCGGAATCGGATCTTCTGATGTCATGCGTACACTCCACACCAGTGCAAGGCCGGTCTCGAGGCAGGGCACCATTGTTTTTGATCCAAGAGTACCCGCGGCTCCCCGGGTTCCCCTCAGATTTGTACGGTATTATGACGCAAAGATCCGATTCCGCTCGACCAAGACCCTATGCAGAGCTGGACCAGGCGTTGCACACTCTGGGGGTTATGTACTCTTGGTTCTATTTATCCATATATGTGCAATCGACTCTCGACTATGCCAGTAACGCTTATCTGCACTGTCTCAGCGCCACCCTGTTCAATAAGATTATGACGGTCAGTCACATAGCAATGAAGAAGGTTTTGGGGTTTGACCGTATGATGTCTACTGAAATTGTTCTCAGCAAATATCATCTCTATTCTTTTGAACAGCGCATACATCTTAAACTCTATGTTTTCGTGTACCGCTGCTTGACCCCACATCTTGCTAGTCCCCTTCTCCAATTGTTGCGAAACCACAAGATCTCGAGAGTGAAAGGTCTTCTCGCTTGTGACATTGTGTTCGTTCCAATGCAGTTGTATCCCGACTCCGCCGTACCGCTGATGTTTACGACATGGTATACGCTACAGGCGCTATGTGCGATTTGCTGTGTGCGCTGTAGTTGTATGTTGTATGTGTATGCTTTTCTCATATACGCTGTCATTTTCACGCTATAACTACCTGGTGGTTTTAGTGTTATTCATTATTGTTAGTCGATCGAAGTCAATATACTGTTGAGAATAAATAGTTGTCCTCGTGCCGTGTGGTCGTTCGTTCCTGACTTTTAGAGAACCAGAGGGTTCACAAAATTTGGTGGGGAGAATGTTGCGAAACCACAAGTTCTCGAGAGTGAAAGGCCTTCTCGCTTGTGACATTGTGTTCGTTCCAATGCAGTTGAATCCCGACTCCGCCGTACCGCTGATGTTTACGACGTGGTATACGCTACAGGCGCTATGTGCGATTTGCTGTGTGCGCTGTAGTTGTATGTGTATGCTTTTCTCATATACGCTGTCATTTTCACGCTATAACTACCTGGTGGTTTTAGTGTTAGTTCATTGTTATAGTCGATCGAAGTGAAATATACTGTCAAGAGTGAATAGTTGTCCTCGTGCCGTGTGGTCGTTCGCTCCTGACTTTTAGAGAACCAGAAGGGTTCACAACATTTGGTGACCACGCCAGGATACGAAGCGAGCATGGCACAGGAACTATGGATCATTGAAGCCCGCTTTATCGCAAATGGAATTCTGTTAGGATTGGAAGGCGATGAGTTGAGGGAACATGTGAAGAAGAGGCTCCGACAGTGCGAGGAGTTTGAAGAGCGCAGTGCTAGACGGCAAGAGGGTGCGCTCCGCATGGAGCGCATCGCCATCAGTACATACGAGGAAGCAAAGCGAGATTTGCTTGCCTCACTCGGAAGGACCCCGGACAAGGCGTGGAAGACTTTGCTTACAGACAAGCAGCGGTCCGAGGAGTATTTGAAGCCAGTGGGAGGATCAGATCCAAGGCCCACTGCGTCGGTGCAGTGCATGGCGACATCGGTCGGAGACACTCAGAAGCAGCTGGAGTCTCAGCCGAACGACGTAGAAGCGCAAGACGTAGAGGCGCAAGACGTAGAGGCGCACGACGTAGAGGCGCAAGACGTAGAAGCGCAATACGTAGAGGCGCAAGACGTAGGGGCGCAAGAGTTAGAGGCGCAATAGTTAGAGGCGCAAGACGTAGAGGCGCAAGACGTAGAGGCGCAAGACGTAGAGGCGCAAGACGTAGAGGCGCAAGACGTAGAGGCGCAAGACGTAGAGGCGCAAGACGTAGAGGCGCAAGACGTAGAGGCGCAGGACGTAGAAGCGCAAGGCGTAGAAGCTAAGGAAATGAGAAGGGTGATACTGGTTAGCACGGAAGAGGTCAACGGTGAGACTGTGTGGAACACAGAGATCGGATGTGTGTTCTCGGGTTCCGCACCCGCGCAGGGCCAGCTGGAGAGCCGGGTCAGCCGGGTCACGCGCCCGGCTGGGGAACTGCACGACCTGGCTGAACAGATAACACCGGGTCCAGTCTGACCTGGCTGAAAATGTCTTAAACTGACAATGGATTCCTAAAATACCGGTATTTTACGACTCGTGGACCCCATCTGTTGCAAATCTAGCGCAATCGTACACACTACACTACAGTCTACAAGCGACAGAAACTCGGCTAGGGTCAACTGGGGTCAACTGGTTCGAGCGCGATCTGGCCAGCGGCGAGCAGGAAGTCAGGACATTCAAAGTCGATGGGGCCGGGGGCAGGCAGTCAAAAGCGGCGCGAAGAGAAAAAGAACTCACGCTTTATCGTTTACCTTCTATCTACGTTTGCGGACTTTGATAGTTCGCCTTGTTCTCTAAAATTTCCGATTTCCGGTAATAAATTCGCCTTTCTGTTTTCCTGCGTTTTGAGCAGGCTTTTTGGTTGTTTTTCTGCCGGATGATCTGACCCGGCTTGACCCGGCTGGCCTGCATGAGACAGGTACACTTTGACCGGGCTGTGTTGAATGTCTAGAGCAGGCCCTGCCGCCCCGGGTTGAAGCAGTGTACCGGTGACCGTGTCGTGTGTGACAGCCCACCTCGGCGAGCTTGGTGAAATTATCGGTTGTGTGTTGTCTGGTCCAGCGTCCGCCCCATGCAGGAGCACGTGACCGCTTGTTCAACCATGTCCGATTGGGAATAAAGGAG